TGCTCTGCTCCTGCCCCGTCCCTGCAGCTCTGCCCTGCCCCAGCTCCCCACCAGCAGCTCCTGGGGCTGTGACAGCAAGGCAGCTCTTGGTTTGGGGCAGGATCACACACTTTTGGTGTTTTTAATGTTTGGGGTTCCCAAGGAAAGCCAGGGAACCCCAAACAGCTGATGGTGCTGTCCAGCTGTGGCAGAGGAGGAATCCTGGGGTGTGCAGAGCCTGTCCCTGTCCCTGTCCCTGTCCCTGTCCCTGTCCCCCAGTGCATCTGCATCCCTGGGATGTTCCCAGCACAGTCCTGACAGGAAGAGTGGATTTGTCTTTACAAACCAGCTCTGGGTCTGCTGGTAGGTAAAATTGGTACTGGGAGATAAAGGAAACAACGGGAAGGATTCCACTGATTGGTGAATGGAAAAAGATATTTGCTTTTACAAATAAACTGCAGGTTTGCTGCTACACGAAATTAGACATTGAGAGATGAAAGAAATAGTGGGGAAGAAAAACCCCTAAATTCCATGAGAATTAAAAATTATAAAGGGAGGGTTGTACATTAGAGGGGAATCTTTGGGATCAGGTGCTCTGGGAAGTCTGAACCTCTCAAGTACCTCAGAAATGGGGAAAGAGAGAAGGGAAATGCAGCTGGGACATTGGGATAAAAAGGAGGCTGCATCCTCCAAAAATTGGAGAGATCCCAGGGGATGCCCCATGGCCTCTCCCTCTATTGGAATAAAGTTCCAGGACTCCTCTGTCTCCTTTTTGGCCATAAACCTCAGGTGTTTGTGGATTAATTTTCCTAACATTGTTGTGCTGCAAGTCACTTCAGTTTCTCATCTGTGGAGCCAGAGATGGAGGTGGCATGAGCTGGGATCAACCTGTCATGCTCAGTAAGCTGGGCTGGGATGAGATAATGCCATTTGTGAAAATCTCAGGAAGATCCTGGTGCTGGACAGACAAGAGTGTTATTAAATGGAAAGTTATTATATGCAGGTGCTGCTCCCCATTTCTGTGGTTGTTTGGGCTTTGTGATAGTGATGCAAACACAGTTTTTATACCAGGCAGGGACTGTCCTGCCCAACCCACTCTGGCAGGCACTAGAGGAGACAATGGATTTCCTGCTGCTGTCATTCCCTCTGTTCCATCCCCAAATTTCCATTAAGGCAATAAAGTGTAATTTACCTGTGAAAATATTCAGATCCAAACTTGCCTGAGTGGCAGAGATTTTGTGTGGTTTGTTTTGGGGAGAAGGCAGGAGTTGGTGCTCACAGAGAGCAAGAGGGCACAGAGGGGTCGTGGTGGCCCATGTCAGCTGCCTGTGAGAGGGCACAGGGATGGATCAGAGCACTGACACCCAGGGTCAGCAAAACACCTGCTCACAGATGTACAATTACTGCTTTGAAATGGGATTTTGCTGGAAGAAATCCAGGTTAAAAATTATTCTCTGCTGAGCTGACAATCTAAAACGTCTGAAGGTGCATGGCTGGGTGGTGGGAGGGTGGGCAGACACCACTCACCATTCCCTGATTTTTCTCCATATTTTGCCCAGAGGGATTAATTGATGCTTCAAGGGAAAGGGAACTGCTGTTTTATGAGTGAAATCTGTTGTCTCATTCATTATTCATCGGGAGGTGATTGGCAGCTCGCAGGCGGTGGGTCACAGGCACTAAAGGGTGAGCTGCTGACTGACAAGGTTAATTGCTGCCTGCCGTTAATGCTGATAACGATTTATGTTGACAATTCCTGGTGTTCCTGGCGCAGCCGGAGGTTTGTCATGCGGGGTCAGTCCCTGCTGGCCCTGCTGTCCCCTGCTGTCCCCGCAGCTGGGAGCTCCCATTCCCTCCACATGAGGGAAGGGAATTCATTCCCTGAGAAGGTCTCTGTGAAAAAATGCATGTATTTTATTATTAGCTCTTTTGCAAATATTCAAATTAATATTATATGTGTTGTGTTAGAAAGTAATGCTGTATTATTCTCTTAAGTAGTGTTTTAAATATAGTTTTAGGTTATAAAAATTGTTAAAATAGAAACGATGCTATGTACGGTACTTTTCTTTAAAGAAAGGACTCACATCAGATAGCAGCCACAGGACACCTAAATCTTTCAGAGAAAAAGAATTTGTTGCTCTCTTATCAGAAGAAATTAACTTCTTCCCACCTCGAAGGTGCTGTCAGGATTTGGAAGAAGAAGTTGAGGATGACCAGACAGAATCTTGTATTTGAATGGAATTTATGCATCTTGTATGAAATGTATGAATATGCAACAGGCTATTGCTTTTAAGGGTTAATCCTTTGTTAACGTGGGTCCTTTTTCAGGCTGGTGCTGCCCAGAAAAGGTACCCAGACGTCAGTAACTCTTTGTTTCTATTGTCTCATATTGTCCTAATTCAAATTGTCCAAATTATGATTACTCTAATTGTATGACTATTCTTATAAGCATTTTATTACTATTAAACTTTTAAAATTTTAAAAGCAAGTGATTGGCGTTTTTCACAGTCTCTCATGCTAAGTGATGCAGAAGCAGCTTTGCAAAGGCATCTGCTGCTTTTACCTTTTTCCCTTCTTCTTTTTTCGCTGTGTTCTTTGCATATTGATCAGGGTTCAGAGCATAAAAGTGAGGCTGGGCTTGGCTCTGCTGATCCCCCTCAGCACCAGCCTCAAAGCTTTGCTTTTCTGGGGGCTCAGGCGAATAGAGATGTGAAAGATTTTTGAGGGTGACCCTTAAAAATACTTTAAAAATGAGAAGGAGTTGTCTTTATTTCTCAGTGTGCAGAGTGGGCTCTGCCACTGAAGCCCAGAGCCACCCCTGGGGCTGTGCCTCCGCTTTTTGGGGTTTGTTTCATCTCTGTAGAAAGGGCACAGCTCCAACTGCACTCACCGCTCCCATCCTTGGAACCACAGATGTTTCCTCCCTGCCTGGATATAACAAAGCAGAGCCATAAAGATTCAGACTAATAAACACCGGCCTTTAGGGTGCTCTCAGCTTTTATGGGGCTAATAAGATTTTTGACTTACATGGGAGGGGAGAGGCAAACAGAGCCTTTATGAACCTGGAGGCCTCGCTGGGGCTCCTGCACCTGTCTGTGATGAAAAGCTGAGGCAGCCTGCAGGCAAAGCACGGCAGAGAGAGCTCCTGTGGATGGATGGCTCTAATGGAATATCCAGGTTTAATTACCTGTCTGATACCAAGCTGTGAGGGCAGGGAGAACTGCCCTGTCTGAGACTCATTGTCTTTTCCCTCCCTCTGGCCAAAATTGGGACCTTCCCTTCTTCTCCTGAGACCATCACCACTGCCCCAAATGTGCCTCAACCCCCTTGGTGAGCAGCACCAGCATTGCCAGGTGTTTGGGTCCAGTTGGGAACTGGTTTTATCATCACTGGCTGATAAAGTTGGGATGTTGTTAAACAGTGGGAGTTTGGGACAGAATCTGAGCAAGAAAGAGGGGACATGTTAAGTATAAACAGGCACAAACTTCATTATTTTCTAGAAATTATTTATTTAAAATTTAAAACCATATTACTTCATACAGCAAACTGTGCAATTTGATATATCACAGTGTCTTAAAAAGGAAAATAATCAGAATTTTTTCTTTTTTTTTTTTTATTTTTTGGAAATTGTATTTACATCGGCCTAGAATGATCAGCAAGTAACACAGTTACTATGAAACCAAAATTGTTACAAAATGTTTACAAAAAACTATATTCATAGAAATTCTGCATGTCCACAAAGGAAAATCCCCTGAATGTCACGGAGAATATTTTTTCCTTTTTTCCCACTCTTTTCTGTTTATTTATTTTTTTTAATTTTTATTTTCTTTTTTTTTTTTTTGAGAAACATGTCAAAGTAAGGTACAGAGCAGAGGGCTCATGATGCCAATGCCTGGGGATGCCCCTGCCCTGCCAGCCCCAAGCTGGATGCTGGGGTGAAGCCACCAGGACCCACAATGTCCCTTTGCTGTCCCCTTCCTGGAGAGCCTCTGTGCTGGCACCCAGGTGGAGCAGTGGGTGCCCAGAGCTGGCTCCCCTTTGCATATTCCATCTCTCTGTGGGTCTGTCCCCTCCACACCAGACCTGGCACGTGCTGTTGGCTGACTCCAAACAGAAATTCCACCCCGGGGAAGCTGCTGGCCGTCCCTGCTCTGTCTCACAGGAGAGTTGGAGGGAAAAAGCAAGTGATAAGGGGATGGTGAGCCGAGGTGACGACAGTTTAGATACAGTTTAATAACCCAAACCTGCTTTTTCTGTATTTCTGCTCAGTTTTCCAAGCGAAGGAAGGAACAGCGTTGGAAGTCCGATGATTCCAGACTGAGCTGTCGCCAGTCCCAGCCAGGTCATGGACGCGCTCACAGAAGGCTTTGAGGCTTTGCCATCGGCTCTGTCCCTTCCCAAGCCTCCAAGGACGTGGCTGTGAGGCCCTGGGCTGGCTGCTCCTCCTCTGGCATGAGCACAAATGGCTTTGGAGCACACGGGGAGGCTCCGGGAGCTCTCCTGGCCGAGCTGCCCCCGGTCCCGCAGGAAGGCTGGGGCTGACATCCTGCATTTCCCCTCGGGTCACAGTGAGCGGGGCCAGGGGCAAGGCTCTGCACCAGCCTGGGGTCCCTCTGCGTTTTTTGGGTGCTGCAGAACATTCCCTTGTTGGATGTCAAGCGTTCCAAGTGATCAGCACAAAGCCGTGGTGTAGATGTGGGAATTTGGCTGCAGTTCGTGGCTGATTTAGGGGTGTGGGGATGGGAGGAAAAGGGTTTGTACACCAGTAATTCCAGATGCTCACCTGTTACATTTGTGAGTAAAATCAAATCAGGCTGGTGTCAATAAATAAATGGGGTTTGTGGTGTTAGCAATATTTACTTATTTATTAAAAAATCTGCCAAGAAGCAAAACGAATGCTGATTTCTCTGGTATTTTACTCTCTGGACATTTAAAGCCAGTTTCAGGCTTTGTTTGCATCTCTGCTTTTTTTTTTTTTTAGAGCTTAGAAATCCGCAAGGAAAACATAAAATCTACTGCTCTGACAAGCCTAAGGATTTGCAAAGGAATACAGAAAGCATGTCATTAGCTTTGGGAAGCTGCCCCACACTTCAGCTTGTCCTCTGCTCAAGGTATTTGTGCAGCAAACTAGTAAGAATCTGCAATTGGCAACTTTCATCCCTAATTTTTCATGGTTTTTGTGAAAAGGTGAAAATGAATGTAAATTCTTTGCATATCTTTACTTCAGTCAAAATATGACAAATCACCTGGCTTTTCTTGGGGTCCCTCTGTTGTTTCTTTACATCATGGAAGAAGCAAAATAAGGACAAACTGTGTTCCATGGTGGGGTGGGGGAGCAGCTCTTCCCCCTTGAGCTGATCTGCTAATTCTGCTCAGCTGGAGACAACCTTCCCGACTGAGCATGGAGAGGGAGAGGTGGGGAAAAATCCAAAATCAGTCAGGTTTGTTCCTTTGGGCAAGGATAAACTTTCCAGAATGGCTGTAAGCTCAGGAGGGCTGTGGTGGCCTCAGCACCCTCTGAGCCAGGGCTCGGGCACTGCTCCATCCCTGCCCTCCACACAGGTGGGGTCCTGCAGGGTCTCTGTCCCTCTTACCCCTGCAGGGGAAGGGTGTTGCTGTTTTCTACACCACCAGTGGTTAAACCAGAGCCTTTAAGCACCTTTGCATCACATGTGTGACATCCTGGGTTATGGTGGGCAGAGGAATTTCCATTTGTTTGATTTTTTGAATGAATCCCACTGGCTGCCAGGTCCCCTGGCAGGGATGGAGCTGAGGGAAATAACTCGAGTGTTACCTTAGGTCAGCAGAGGGGTCTTTGGTAATTCTGCCTAAATTCATCTGCAGGACCAACCTTCTGGGTTAAGCAACCTGAAAATAAGAAGACAATTCATGGAAGATTTCCCAAAAACATTTTAGTGTGTGTTTGCTTAAATCCCATGGAGAGGCTGCCTGAGGGGTGGCAGTTCGTGGTCAGAGCAGGAGGGATCCCAGGCTTGGCTCTGCTTCTCCCTGGTCAGCTCTGGCTGAGATTCATCTTTCAGGTCCTTGATGCCATGGAGAGCTCTTAGTCCTAAACCAGGCCCACAGTCCCTCCCAGTGTGGAGCTGCAGGTCAGCACTGCTGAATTTCATGGAAATCCGTACTTTTGGCTCTTGGAAGCAGCTCTGCTCCTGCTGCTGCTGCTGGAGCCTGTGGACATGGTTGCTTCCCATGCTTCTCTGCAGGAGAGACTGAGCTTTGCAGGAAGAGCAGAGGCAGAGCTGAGGACCTGGAGATCACGGTGTCACCCTGGGCTGCAGCTTGGCTTGGGGAGCGTGGGTGCTGTCACTCGGAGGTGCAGGATGTCCTGTGCATGCCACGCTGTGCCCTCCCTGGCCCAGAGCTTGGGTACATTTCAGGCTCACCTTCCCCTTCCCAGCCAGCTGCCCTGGGTCTGCTGAGGAACTTGCGTCACCTTGTGCCACCACGCTGCTGCCACGTGGCTGTCCTGCTCCGGGGGGCTGCGGCCAGCACAGCCGCGAGGTGACGGCCACCGCCAGCTGCTCTGGGGCAAGCACAGCCTCCCCCATCCTGGGGCTTCCCAGATGCCTCTCCCATTCCAAAAATGTGCTGTGTGTGTCGGTGTGGGTCAGGTGCTCACACCTGACCGAGTGTTCCTGTTTATTGCCATGCTGATGGAGCCACGCTCGCGGCTCCTCCTCACCCGCTCGGGCTTGGCTCAATTCTGCTTCACCTCCGCCTGTTTGCAGTGTGTAAACATCAGACTCCTGGGTGGTGGTTGGACTCCATGAGGCCTGGAGGATCGAAGCATTAAAAAAAATAAAAGGAATGAAAAGTAACAAAACAAACGCAAAAAGCCCCAAGACCCACGTTACTGTCCGTGCTTGGAAGTTCTGGCTCCTCTGCGGTGATGGATGCAGCTGGCTTGCAACGGCCTTGTTCTCGAAATGAACAAACCAGGCTTTTTTTTTTTTTTTTCTCTTTTTTTTTTTTTTTTTTTTTTCTCTCACGTTGTTTAATCCATTCTTCCCTAGTTCAGGGTGCATCCAGCCGTGTCTGCCGCCATTCCTTCCCTCCCACCCCCCCCAGTGCCATTCCCTAGGGGAACACAGGTGCCAGTCCGGTGTTGCAGGTCATGCTGTCCTTGCCGGGCAGCCGGCGGTCGTTGAAGGTGTGCATGTTGATCACGGCGTCCGTCTTCACCATCACGGGGGGCTGGGGCTTGTGCTTGACCCGGCGCTGGCAGGTGAGAGACAGCCGGATCTCGTCGGCCATGGCGCTGCAGAAGGAGCGCTGGGGACAGTGGGGGTGATGCCTTAGCATTTCAGCTTTTATCATTTGTTTTTGTAATCCTGCAACTTGTTAGCGTGGAACTGTAAAGCTCATCAGCCACTGTTCTCCCATTTTACTGGGGACAGTGAGGGTAATGCCTTAATGCCTTAGCATTTCAGCTCTTATATTTTTCAGATATTTGTAATCCTGCAGTTTGTTAGGGTGGAACTGTAAAGCGCCTCTCAGCCACTCTTCTCCCATTTTATTTGGGACAGTGGGGGTGATGCCTTAGCATTTCAGCTTTTATAATTATTTTTTTGTAATCCTGAAATTCATTACTATGGAACTGTAAAGTGCCTGTCAGCCACCTTTCTCCCATTTTATTTGGGATAGCGGGAGTGATGCGTTAGCATTTCAACTCTTACATTTTTCAGATATTTGTAATTCTGCTATTTGTTAGTGTGGAACTGTAAAGCTCATCAGCCACTGTTCTCCCATTTTACTGGGGACAGTGAGGGTAATGCCTTAATGCCTTAGCATTTCAGCTCTTACATTTTTCAGATATTTGTAGTCCTGCAGTTTGTTAGGGTGGAACTGTAAAGCGCCTGTCAGCCACTGTTTTCCCATTTTACTCGGGACAGTGGGGATGATGCCTTAGCATTTTAGCTCTTATATTTTTTTTTTGTAATCCTGCAACTCCTTAGTGTGTAACTGTAAAGCTCCATAGTCTGTCAGCCACTGTTCTCCCATTTTATTTGGGACAGTGAGGGTGATGCCTTAGCATTTTAGCTCTTATAACTTTCAGATTTCTTTTATTTTTTGGAAATTGTATTTACATCAGTCTAGAATGATCAGCAAGTAACACAGTTACTTACAATTTTCAGATATTTGTAATCCTGCAACTTGTCAGTGCAGAACTGTAAAGCTCCATAGCCCGTCATCCACTGTTGTCTCATTGGGGACAGTGGAGGTGACACCTTTGCATTTTAGCTCTTTTTTAAAAAAAATCCTGCAATTTGTTAATGTGTAACTGTAAAGCTCCATAGCCCATCAACCACTGTTCTCCCATTTTATTTGGGGCAGTGGGGGTGATACTTTAGCATTTCAGCTTCTATAACTTTCAGGTATTTGTAATCCTGCAGTTTGTTAGTGTGGAACTGTAAAGCCCCGAAGCCTCTCAGCCACTGTTTTCCCATTTTATTTGGGACAGTGGGGATGATGCTGAGACATAAACTTTAAGGAATTTAGAGATTTTAGAGGAGCTCCTTCTACTGGGCAGCTTTCCTTTCTCTGTCCAGTCCATCATGAGGGCAGCTGGCTTTGATTTCTGGTCATGCACACAAGTGCACGTTCCATTTACTGCACTGGGACACCCAGGGCAGGGGAAAGACATAAAAGCAGTTCTGTTTTTTCCTGAACACTGATCAGCAATGATGGGCTGTGTCTGTGAGTGTGGCTGAGTTCTGAGACAGTATGAGGCTTCCTGGTGAGCCCTGACTTGCTCCTCTTTCAACAGAACTGGGGAGAAGGCATGAGTAGTCACACCTGGAACGTGCAAGGTGATTTCAAGAGGGTGTAACATCTGAGAAAGGCCCCTCCTAGGGACTTCTGCCTATATTTTAATGATTTGTTTTCAGCTTGCTCTAAACCACCCTACCAATGATGTGTCCTGCTCTGGCTGCAGCAGCAGCAGACTCTGATCAGAGCAGACGTGACTTTCCCTCGAGTGGAGGTCATCAGAGGGACAGCCCAGTGAGACTGTGGGGATGGCATTTTATGGGTGCCAGGCTGGATCCCTCTGCCCTCTCCCTGCCTGTCTCTGGGGTCAGCATGCACGGCTGGGCTAAGGGGACACAGAGAATCAGGGGAATCAGTCATACCTGCTCGCGCTCCGCTGTTTTGCGCAGCTTGTAGATGAACTCCACCATGGCCACAAAGACAGATAGCACCAGGCCTGCTGCCAGGACAATGAAGATCCCTCCAATGTTTTGAACACCTAGAGCACTGGCCTCCTTGTTCTCATCCTCAGGGCAGCCATTTCCCCGCCACCACTTCTCCTTCATGACGTGGAGCTTGTCCTCCTCCTGGAGCTGCAGGATGGCGATGGTGATCTTGTCCCTGTACGGTGACCCTGGGGGTGGGGACAGTGTTATACACAGAGGGAAAGGGGGGACAAAAATCCCACCCAGCGGGGAAGGTGTCTGTGTTAAACAGCACAGTTCAGACCTCTCTTCAACGGGCAGACAGTGCTATTTGGAAATTTGCTGCTGGGAGTGGATTATCTTAATCACCTATTGGAATATTTACCAATATAGCCAGATGGGACCTGCCTGAGCTTCTCTGGCCCTTGCTGCTGAACCAAACAGCAGCACTGTGGAGTTTCACCCCACAGACACTTTTGGCTGGTTGGATGTGGTGTTTCACTCCACAGACACTTTGGGCTGGCTGGGTGTGTGGTGTTTCACCCCACAGACACTTTGGGCTGGCTGGGTGCTGCAGCTGGGCCCGTGGGGACAAGGCCAGGCCTGCAGGAGATCTGGTGGTGCTGGGATGGAGCTTCCCCCCATAACAGGGGCTGCTCCTCAGGTTTCCCTCTGGCAGAGAAGCTTTAAGGCGATGGTGAAGGAAAGGAGTCGGTTCTGATGCAGGGTTTGGATGCAGAGCTTCATTCTGGCCCATAGGCCTCTGAATGCAGCAGCAGCTCCAACAGAACTCCCTGAGCCCGTGGCTGCTGCTCCTTTGAACCCCGGGGAGAGGGGCAGGGAAGGGGCAGGGAGCCACCAAGCAGGGACAGGAGGGGAGGGACAAAGGGACAAAGGGACAAAGGACACCTGGATGGCCCAATGGCCCCCAGGGGTAGAAGGCATCCTTTAAATCTGCCAATCACTCGATGCCCTTCTGGAATGCCAGGAGTGACAGACAGTGCTGGGAGGGGAAAGGAGAGGTGACTGACACACCTGGGAGGGAATTATCAGGGGAGAGACCAGGTTTCTGAGGTAAATCCTGAAATCACAATGCAACGATCACTTGTGTTTGTGCTGACCAGCCCCCCCTGGGGTCGCTGCAGAACTGTCACTTACCCATGGGTGTCCCAATGCCATAGCCTTTGGTGTCGATGAGCCCCCCAATCTGGGTGAGGTTGCAGTTCCTCTGGGTGATGTACTCGATGGTGGTGGACTCCATCAGCAGGGCATAATCAGCTGTCAGGGTTCGCTGGATCCCCTCCTCGTTGTTCTTCACCAGGGCCGTGGGTTTGCTGCTCATGAATGCCCACATTTTTTCAAAAGTGGAGATTTTGGATTTCTGGAAAAGCGATACCCCCCCATCATCAAAATAAGAATGAATTCTCCATTTGCTGAAAGCTGGTATCTTTTCAGTAAATAATAATAATAATAATAATAATAATAATAATAATTTAGAGCAGATCAAACAATTGAGCAACCATGAATTTTACTTTGTCTTAAATGCCTTCACTGCCCAGCATTGTTTAGATTTATGTTGCCTTAAAGAGACACAAGGGTGGCAGCAAACACTCCACTGTGCATGTGCTTCAGGTCCTGAGGTGAAATTGAACCTGCCCAAAGTCCTGCAGTCCCCTTAACTCCCAGGCCATTGGCTTAAATGTATTCACTTAAATCTGCTTAAATGTGTTCACTTCCTACCCAGCATTTGTTTACCCTGTAATGTTTCTGCATGCAGAAAGAACAGAGAGTTTTGGAGGACGTGGTTTTCTCTACACACACTCTGATATTTTTGTCTTTCCTCAAGCATGGCAAGGAAACGAGTCTCCTCTGAGATATGTGCAACTGCCAAACAGATTTAACGTACCCACGTAAACAGAAGCACAGAGATATTCAAGAAGATTGTCTTACGGCTAAAAATAAACATGGATATTCTTCCACTATCAGCAGACATTCTGTTGCAAAGGATGGAATATGTTTTCTAGCTTGCTATTCATGTGAATGTTTTTTTTTTCCTTACAGAAAATGTGTTGAGTGAGAAGAAATATGGTTATTTTATGTCTTGCCATAACATTTGAAAAGTACCATTTATCTATGAGCACCTTCTGAGTTGTCCCTGTCAGTCATCACCAAAGGCACAGAACGGTTTGAGATGGGAAAAAAGCTCATCCTTAAAGCTCATCCTGTTCCCCCCCTGCCATGGGCAGGGACACCTCCCATTAGACCAGACTGTGGTCAGAACTGGTTTTAGTTCAGGAAGATTTTCCAGACAGGCAGAGCAGTGTCCTCTTGTCCTTTGCTGGTCCCAGCACTCCTGTGGGTCAGTGCTTCTCCCTCAGCCCAGCCCTGGGACAACACTTGGATATTCACACTTGGATATTCCCACTGCTGCCAGCTCCTTTATGCACAGTTCCTCTTCCTGCCCCATTTCTTGTTTTTCCTGGGTCTGTTTTTGCCTCCTTATTTCATAAGAAGCAGCTTAGGCAGGCAAACCTCTTCCTCCCCTGTGCTGCTCGGTGAGCCTGGAGCTGGCTGATAAGTCAGGGGGCAGATAATTCCCTGTGCTGTGTCTGGAATCAGGGTGGCCTCTCAGCAGCTGCTGCACGAGGAGCGGCTGCTGCAGAGCTGTGATTTCAGCCTCGTTTATCTCTCCACAGGTCTCTGTCCTTCCAGGAGAAAGCAGGAGATGGAGCCCAAGCCCAGCCCAACTGCTGCTGCCACAGCTCCCCATCATTTTGTCAGTATCACCCAAAATGTGCCAGCACGGGTTCTTGTGATAAAACCGTAATAAATAATGGTGAGGCAGCTGAAAGCCCCTTGTAATGCTTCGTTTTCCATGTGCTTTGCCCGTCCACCTCCTTTATTCCAGCGTGTTTAGCCAAAGTTAAACAAAAGCTCATCACCCCGAAGCTGGGTAGTGCAGTGCTGTTCAAACAAAGGCTGCTCCTCTGCCTTTAACCCTGTGGGCCCCTTCTCCTGACTGAAATACTCAGGGATTCATTTCTTCTCCATTAAAGCTTGTGCTCGTTATAATCCACTTGATGAATGCTCAGCAGTGGATGTGCTGGAGCAAACTTCATTCAAGAGGCAGGATAATCTCCCTCGCCTGAAAATCTGGACCAGTGCCTGTAAGGTAGATTTGTGGCATCTATCAAACCTCAAAGAGCAGCAAGAAATGTAGCCTCCAAAAGGATTATTAAATATCTGTACATTACAATGGGTAATTGAAATGAATCGTGTGCTCGGCTGGCTGATAAGGACTTGTTTAACATTTATATAGTTCACATCAGAGGCCTCTGGGTTCCTTGGCTCTCCCTCTCTCTTCTTCTCTTTCTGCATTTAATGCTCCTTGAGTGTTGACACAGAGCTTTTAACATCAGTGTTCTCCCAGTTTAGAGCACAGAGCAAAATAAACTGGCAAAAAATCAATAGGCTGCATTTAGTGAAGCAAATGGGACTTGCATGAGGCACTGGACCTCTTCAGGCAACTGAAATTACACGAGACAGGGCTCCCTGGAAGAGAAAAACCACTTTTCTCTTCTTCTTTTAAATCACTGCTCCTGACCAGCTTGAAGGGACTTAATTGTGTTTGGGATGCCAGGAAGAGCCCGGATTTGTCACTTGTGGCTGTGCTGCCTTGAGCCCAGCTCAGCCCTGCCAGGGGTGGAGCACACCTGCAGCAGCTGGGGCACACCTGGCAAGGGCTGGCAGGGAGGATGGAGCTGCTGCCACTGCTGTCACTGCTGTCACTGCTGTCACTGCTGTCACTGCTCACTTGTGCCTAAAGAGAGCTGGGACAGAGATCTGGGCTCAGGGCTGAGACCTGTGATGGTGTTCACAGGAGTCTCAGGATGAGGGAAGAGAGGAGGATCTGACTCCATGTTTCAGAAGGCTTGATTTATTATTTTATGATATATATTACATTAAAACTATACTAAAAAAATAGAAGAAAAGGTTTCATCAGAAGGCTACCTAAGAATAGAAAGGAATGATAACAAAAGCTTCTGTCTCGAACAGAGAGTCCCAGCCAGCTGACTGTGATTGGCCATTAATTAGAAACAACTCCATGAGACCAATCCCAGATCCACCTGCTGCATTCCACAGCAGCAGATAATCATTGTTTTCATTTTGTTCCTGAGGCCTCCCAGCTTCTCAGGAGGAAAAATCCTAAGGAAAGGATTTTCCATAAAAGTTGTCTCCAAAGGAGACCCAGCAGGGCAGAGGAGCTGGGGGTCCCTCCAGGAGCCCATTGGTGCTGCCAGGCCAGTTCACACCCAGCCCTGCTCAGGGCAGCCTCAGGCTCTCAAACCTGATGAGAAAACTGCTTTTCCAAGGGAAAATCCCCCAGCTGTAATTCCCAGCCCAGCCCTCACAGGGTGATGGTTTGCTGCAGACCCAGAGGCAGCTGTGGGAGTGATGTTGGTCATCAATCCCGAATCACAGGAGCAGCGAGGGCAGGAGTGGCCCTGCTCCAGCTCACACACAATTACGCCACAGAACATGTTTTGTAGTTGAGGGAAAAGTTCATTTCTCCCCTTCCTTCTCTCAAATATGTGGTCCACACAGCAAAGCTGTTGCTCATTGATGGGAATTTGGATGTTGTCAGCCAGGACTGCAGCACAGAAATAAGCAAAACCATCTTAGTAGTAATTTAGTAATAAAGAATGGCTTAAATTGTGTTTATTTTGCTGGTGGTTTTTTTTCTGTGTTCTTTATTTGTGTGTACCTTTTACCATGATTTTACCATAGTTTAACTTTAATAACTGGAGTTAGTTGCTGGTCTGATCTGCTATTTTCTGTGCTGTGGCTGGGTGCTAATTTCTTCTCAAGAGATTCACCATTTACTTTTATGGGCTTCATAAAAGAAGCATATCTCAGTTGGTTGTGGGCAAAGGGATCCTCCTGTGCCCCCATATCCTCTGAAATGTCCCCAGGTCCCCCTCAGTGACAGCTTTGCTGCCAAAGGTAGATGAGGAGGAGCTGCTTGGGTGCTCTGAAGCATTGAGATAAATGATCTGACAATGGCAGAAAAGTTCCTGTGTCAGGAGCCCCGAGATGTTGGGAATGAAGGAGATGTTGCTAATTACCCAGGGCTGTTGCTGCTGCAGCAGTGGCTTGTTGCAGACATCTTTTATGGAAAATCCTTTCCTTAAGATTTTTCCTCCTGAGAAGCTGAGAGGCCTCAGGAACAAAATGTAAACATTGATTTTCTGTTGCTTTGGAGTGGAACAGGTGCATCTGTGATTGGTCCATGTTGGATGCTTGTAATTAATGGCCAATCACAGTCAGCTGGCTTGGACAGAGAGCAGAGCCACAAACCTTTGTTATCTATCGTTCTTATTCTATTCTTAGCTAATCTTTTGATGAAATCCTTTCTTCTATTCTTTTAGTATAGTTTTAATGTCATATATATAATAAAATAATAAATCAAGCCTTCTGAAACATGGAGTCAGATCCTCATCTCTTTCCCAGTCCAAGAACCTCTGTGAACACGGTCACAGTGGCTCACACGGTGGGCTAGAGTCTCACTCCTGCTCACACGAGTGGAGCTTCTCCTTGATTTATTCAGGATAAATAACACCAGAATCTGCTCTGTTGTGCTCTGCATCTTAATCAGCCCGTGTTGGAGCTAAATGAGATGTGTGTGTGAAAGCAGAGTGCCAGCCCCTGCGAAGGCAGCGACGCCGAGAACGCCTCCGAGTTCATTCTTCAGAGTCACAGCTCAGGAGCCACCTTTAATAAGCAGTTCTGCAGGGCCAGCCACCCAAATCAATTAATGGAATCGTTTAGAGGAGCCCCTACCAGGCATCTTGCCAAGACATATACGCTTTTTTATCAGCCAAATTGGCAAGAAAGGAACTTTCAGGCTTAAGATTTTCAATTCCAGCCTGTATGAAAAAAAATAAATTGATTTCCACCAAGTGAAGATACTTAGTCTTGAGGATTTAACATTTCTGTATGAGTATCTGTGTACACACACTCACAGCCAGACTCCAAACTGCACATGAGATCTGGCCTTCCATTCAGAGAGGCAGCATCCTCAGCAAGGATGGGAAGGATTTATGAGTTATAATGAACTCTCGATGCTGTTCCTAAATTAATTGATCAGTGTTTATTCCTGTAACTCAATCTGCATTGCCAGGGAGTAAAGAGCTTCTCAAGGGTTCTTTCCATGAAGTCAGAATGTGCCAATAAAGCTCTCTCTTCTTCCATCTCTTGGTTTGCTTGGATGCATGGGGCCAAATTTTGTGGGAGCAGAATCCTTCACTGTGGGGCTGTTCCAGAGGGTTCTTGGCTCCATATGGAACTTCCATTTGGAATTTCTATTTGGAACTTGCATTTAGAACCTCCATTTGGAACTTCTGCAGTGTCCCTGGTGAGCTCTGCACAAGCTCTGTGCTTTGGGATCCATCTCATGGAACAGCATGAAAGGTGTCTGCCTTCCTCTTCCTCTTCCTCCCGCTGTCCATTCTCAGGATCAGGGTGCTGCTCTCCTCCTGCACTCCTGGGGGGATCCAGCATGGTCAGGATGGGCTCTGACAGAGGGGCTGCAAGGCCCAGGAGTGCTCAGGGCTGGTGTGAGCATCTTACAGTTGATTTAGCAGAGAGAAATGAAGGAGCTGCTGTGATGGGAGTGAATTTGGGGAGCAGCCACACAAGGAGGCAGGCAGCAATTTGGGCCAATTATAGCTAAATATACTAAAATATATATTAAAATATATAGATAAATAATATAATGAATATACTAAAGTATACTAAATATATAGGTAATCCATGGAGCAGGTGAGATCCTCATGGGTGTGCTGCCATCAGCCTTTTGTGCCAGCAGTGACAGTGTGTCCAGAGCTGCTGGGATGGTGTGTTCAGAGCTGGGATGGTGTGTCCAGAGCTGCTGGAGTGCTCAGGCTCTGCAGGAATGATTCAGGAGCCCTGGCTGATGTGGGTTGTCTCTGCTGGAACCCCTGGAGCAGGGCAGAGAAGGGAGGGAAGCCAGGTGCTGTTCTCCCAGTGGGAGGGTGGATGCTCAGCTGGCACCTGGAGCTCTGTGTGTGACAGTGTCCCCATGGAGGTGGCACTGACAGAGCAGCTGAGCCAAACCCACCACAGGAATGACCCAGGTGAGAACAAAGCCCTTGCTGGAGCTGGGAGAAATCCTGTCTGTCCCAAATCCCTCTGTACAGGAAGGACCAGTGAGCAGAGCTCCCCACGTGGGAGCTCCCACTGCTCCAGTAATGGAAATGCTTGTCAGGAGGGACATTCCTGAGAATTCATCTCCATACAACAGTGATAATAAAAAGGGAAAGGAAAATGCTCTGCATCAATAAACCATGCCAAGGCAGTTAGAAGCCTGAAGTATGATTCTGATGGATAATGATATGAAGCAATAAATATACTGTGTCCTGATGATTGTTAAAAGAGACAGTTTCCTTTTATTCCCATATAAAACTCGTATTGGAAGGCACAGTTAAAGCACACAGTTACAGCCCTGCTGGTTGTTCCAGGGTTATTTGGCTTTGGAAAACACCACCACACATCTGCCTGTGCCATGGACAGAACTGCAGCTCCATGGCAGGAGGCAAACTGGGCATTCCCAGAAACACTAAAGATCAAACCACCCCCTCTGTGGCTCTTTATCAACTGCAAACCACCCCCTCTGTGGCTCTTTATCAACCTCTGCTGCTGCCTGTCAGAGTCAGGACACACATCCAGGGAGGACAGTGCCTTCTCAGCCAGATCAGAGCCAGGAGAAGTTGCATGGGAACAATGCTCCCTCTATTATTAAAATCCAGCATATTGCCTTCCTTTAATGAGTCTTGCCAATTAAACTGCTGAGGCCTCATCAAGCTGCCATCACCCTGTGCCTGCTCAGATCTTGCAGCACCAGGCACAAACTGCTTGGTAAAGGCTGAACTGTGCTAGTCACATGGATTTCCTTCTGCATTAGGGTGGTGGAGGGGGAAGGAGCCAGAGGTGAGGGGGAGCCAGCTCCCATTCCTGAGCCAAAGCCTGGGATCTTCCTTTGGGCGTCTTTCCTTGCCAGAGTGATAATTCCTTAATCACCCTTCATTTCTATCCTTTTATTCTCTCTCTTTTCAAACTGGGTTTTTACAGGCCAGCAGTGGTTTTAAAGGTCATTTTACATCTCTCAGTTTCTTTCTATTTTTGAGGCTACGGTGGAATCTGACTGACTTCTGAATTTAATTATGCTTTAAATAGACGAAATTAATGCAATTGGATTGTGATGCACTGGTAGTGTTACCTTGCCCTGGATCTCAGAGGTTAATAAAACTAGATTACATTGATATGAATACCTGAAGGACAAGGGAGATATTTCAGCTGTAAAAAATACAGGTCAGGGAGGGCACTTTGCAACATCTGTCCAGCTGTGGGTTTCATTTGGGCTCTCCTCTGTCCCTGAAGGCTGGCTGGCTCAGCCTGGGGGCTCCATGGGGCAAGGAAGGAGCTGGATGGGTCAGATGTGGAAATTGGGAAAATGCCTTAAGGAATATAAGATGTTTCTGCAGGGCTTTAATACAAGCTTCCCTTTGGCACATGCTGCATTTTAGGGTGTCCGAGCCAATATTGGGTAGAGCCTGCAAAAGTGTAAAATCAGTTTAATTTAGTACCTGTGACTTCAGTTAACAACAGGGAGGGGGATTTAGCCTTGGTGGGACTCAGATGAGTGTCAGTCTCAGTCTGGGCAAGATGTGAGACTGAAAGAAGCAGCAAGAAGGAGCAGCAGGGGCGGCTTGGGAGGATTTCTGTCTTTGGATCTTTGTCCTGGCTCCCGTTGGCATCTCTGCCTGGAAGGCAGAAAGCCTCTGCCTGGTCTCACCTTGAAGAAGGTCATGGTAGCTCCATCCTTCACTGCTCCATACTCTATTTTTGTCTGCTTTGCCAAGTCATCTGCCGAGTCGATGGGGGACTCCATCCTCTCCACGGTCAGGAAGGCGGCGAGGTTGGCCGTGTAGGACGAGATGATAATGAGGGTGAAGAACCACCATATGCCACCAATGATCCGTGTAGACAGGGCTTTGGGCATCAGCTCCGAGCCTGGGGGGGACAAGGGAAGGAGGGCAGAGGAAATAGAGGGAAAAAAACCAATTTTATATACCCATATGTACATTTTATATACATACATATATATATATATACACACACACACATATGTATATATGGTCAGATTTCACTGTCAAAACTGTTACAGCCACACAATTAAAGCCAACTGGTTTTGAGACAAATTATCCAGACATCTTACATGCAAGGACATCAGTAGACAGGGCTTTGAGCATCAGCTCTGAGCCTGGGGTGGGACAGGGAAAGGAGAGGAGAGGAAATAGAGGGAAAAACCCATTTTATATATCCATCCATACATTTTATGTACATACATATATATATATCTGATCAGGTTTCACTGTCAAAACTGTTACAGCCACGCAATTAAAGCTAACTGGTTTTGAGGCAAATTATCCAGACATCTTACATGCGAGGACATCAGTAGGGTTTTTGTAGCATTTGCAGAAAAACCCTCTTCCTTGATTACTGACCTTGGGTACAGTGCCCAATTTACAGGAAACATCCAAACTGAAGTAATTAACTGGGCTGCTTTTATGAGATTTAAATAGCAAGCTATTTATGAACTTTTATGAGTGTTTTGTTCTGCCATTTAAAAAGGGCTTTGCTTTTATACAGATTATTTTCAAAAGACTCACTCTGGGGAGTGCGTTCAAATATACAAGGTTTTAAAAAAATCAAACACCAAGAGAAAGGCACTATCAGGGTCCAGGGCTTTGAATGCCAGTCAGAAATGGGGAAGCAGGAGATGTTACAGCATAAAAGGTGTAGTGGGTCTGGAATGACTTTTATTGAGCAGACATGAAGGGCTAAATGGGTTGTGCTATTTTTGTAATCACCCAAAACACCTTTTAAAGCCAGGCAAGAGCTTTGGGTTTGAAACAGCTGTGCTCAGAGGATTTATCAGCCTGGAAAGTGCAACAAAGATTGCAAAGTAATTTTAGGCAGTGTGGCATCAAAGCAGAGCATGGGGTGTAGTTTTCCTCCCTTCAGAGTGCCGCAAGGAGACACCAGGAAGAGGAGGAGTCCTGGATATTGAGGGTGCTTTGGTTCTCCTCAAGATCCTTCTTCTTCCCTCTTCTATCTCCGGCCCTTTGATGCATTGGATGCTGTGACATCAGTCTGGCTTTGAAATATTTTTCTTCTCAGATGCAGAATTGAGTTAAAAAGAATATAGCTCTTTTCATTTATCAGCATCTGATAAGAGGGATGATTCATGCTGCTAAACCGCCTTGCTGGGAACTGTCACTGTCCACGAGGGCAGCTGAGATCCAGGAGGAATCTCTATTACAGGCAGCAGCGGAGCTCAGAGCAGCTCTGTGCCTGCCACTGAGCCAAGGCTGTGCTTCTTTTGCTCTCTGGATGTAACCACTGATACATGGTAAATTAAAGTGTGACAAATGTTTGACATTTTCCACTTATTTCTATTCCTGGATTTTCTGCAATTAGATCGCAGCTGAATTTCGTTCCTTATTCAGAGTTGCTCCCTGCTGCCTTCTGAACAGATCTATTCTGTTCGTTGCATCTCTCTATTCCATTCATACACACACAGGGGTGTAATCCTGTCCCTGTCCCATTTCTGGGGTCCCTGTGACCACTGGAAACTCTCCTGAGGGGCTGATGGGCACAGGCTCCCAGGGCAGCTCCTCCAGGCTGGGGGAGCTTCAGGGCATCTCATACTGCTCAGAGTGACCAGGGGAGGGGAAAAATGGGGATGGAGCAGAGGGCAAGGCACCCTGTCTGCTGGAAAAGTTGATTTAGAACAGACAGAGAGCCAGGTCAGAGATCCTGAAACTGAACAACATTTCTGCAACTGTGTTCCCCCACACAAGGATGTTATCAATATACTTTAGGTGTTCTGGAGCCTCACCCTTTTCTAGTGCCCCACGTTGGGCACCAAATTTTGCCCTGGTTTATGGCAAATTTGGGAGAGAATCTCCAAAGGGGGGCCCCTCCAGAAAGCAAACCCACATGGCCCCTCCCTGCAACTGGTTCGGGAAGAAATGGTTGGAATGAACAGAAATAGGAATTTGCAGTCTGTGGGATGTGGCGGACTGAAGCAGCTGAGGGAGACGAAGGCAGTGCTTCTCCTTGGAGCTGCAGGGGCCAGTAGGTGCTGGGAGGTTGCATCCAAGACAAATTTTGAATTTAAAAAGCCCTAAGAGCAGGTGGGTGGTCTTACCTTGCTGCATCAGCGCTCCTGTACTGAACCAGAAGCTGTTCAGGAGGGTGAAGTTGTTCTCTATGATGTCCGAGCCCGGGTTGCAGGGGTGGGAGGTTGCAACCAAACCAAATTTTGAATTAAGAAAGCCCTAAGAGCAGGGGGGTGGTCCTTACCTTGCTGCATCAGCGCTCCCATCCCGAACCAGAAGCTGTTCAGGAGGGTGAAGTTGTTCTCCACGATGTCCGAGCCCGGGTTGCAGGGGTGGGCATCATACCACTCATATGGGCTGAACCTGCAGCACACAGGGAAACAGAGCTCCTGATGGTGCCTTGGAGGGGCTCCCTAGGACAGAGACTAGTCAGGATTAAGAGAATAAAGTGGGGATTTATTAAAAGCCTTCAATAGATACACCCTGGCCAGCCAAAGCCTTCCGAGGCTATACCCAAAATGGTCTTGAGTTTTTCATTCAGTTATGAGTTTGGTCCATTTGCATAGCAGGGATTAATCCTTAATTACAGCTACAGGTAATGAAGTAAAATACCCCCAGTTTGCTCCTCACATTTTGCTTTACCTTATATTTTTCAGGCCCTGAGGCTGTAGGGTGTCCTTGGATGTCAGGCCTTGAGACCAAACGTGAAGATAGTTAGCCAACACTTCTCTATGGAGTTATGGACTAATGCAGCACAGGATTTGAAAAATATAAAGGCTAAAATATTAAGGCATCAGTTAGTTGGGATGTGGCAGGACAAGACCCTAAAGGAGCTGGAAAAAAAAGTCTCAATGCCTCTGGTGTGCAGGGGCTGCCGACCTGGTGCACAGCTTTGTAGAGAAAAAGGCAAATTCAGCCCAAGCCACCCACAGAGCTGTAAATCTGTGTCCAGCATTTTGGAGAGCAGAGGAGTCCTTCTGAGGTGTCTCAGGTGGCTTCCCCAGAGCCTTTGGTCACTTTGGATCATCTTTTCAATACTATGTCCTACAACAGCACCTGGAGCATGTGATGGTGGGATGGGATGGGATGGGATCCAGACACATAACCTCTTGTATGTAACAGTTTGAAAATGTGGGGGGAAATGACATTTTTGATTGATTAAGGAGAAGCCTTGATCATTCTGCAGTAGTAGCAGGGACAAACTGGTATTTCAGGAGATTCTCCCACTAATGCACGTGGGAATCAAGGTGGGATTTAGGTCACTTAGAAGCAGAACCTTCCACCATCCTGACAAGCAGGAGTTTAGCCCAGTCAGGGCACTGGCAGAACACTGGAATGTGGTAGCAGTTTGCTGTGGGCAAACTTAATCCCTGTGGGGATGAATTTCCATGGATAGCCCTGAAGTTCTTGAGCAAGACTGAGGGAGTTTCCAAGGAAAATCTCTGCAAATTCTGCCCAAGACTGGCAGGCAAACACTGCTGGAAATGAGCTCGTTTAGCCAGGATCTGGGGAGGATGCTAAACAGGAGAGATGTTAATATTTTTAGAGCTGTTTATTTACATTTTCTGAGAGTCCCAAATTTTGCAGAGATTAAATTAAAAACATAATTGGTATAATTGCTTTTGAACCAGGCATTAATTATCATCTCCGCTTCCTTCTGGAATCCCTGGAGATTCACAACAGCCCCTTCTCAGAGCCCAGCCCACAGCCTCTATCAGGAGATGCTTCCCTCTGTTATTCCCCACCAGATGTGCCACCACCCAAGGAGAGGGCTCATGGCTCCATTCCAGGGTGGCCTCGCTCAGACAGTTGGATTTGTTTGGAGAAGGGCCCCAGATCCCTGCCAGGAACCTCCTGGCACTGAAACCTGCCCTGGGCACATGGCAGTGCCAAGTGTGCGAGGGGTCTGGGGGAAAACCATCCCTGAGGATGGACAAAACACAGCCCACACTCCTGTGGCTTTGGAAAAGGTTACCCTGAGCACAGCTGTGCCACTTTTTGCTTCTGTTTTCCATCTCCAAGATACAGTCCAATGAGCTCTCCTTTCCTCTCTGTTTTTTCTCACTTTCCTGCAGCAGTTCCCTGGGCTGGGTTTGGGGTGTGGAACCCCAGGTCCTGCTCAGGCTGCACCCTGGCATTGCTGCTCATTCATCCAGGTTGGGCTCTCCTTGCTGCTCACCCTCTTCTGCTCTCTAAATCAGAGGAAATCAGCAAGAACCAGGCTGAACTCAGACCTGGCTTTCCATGCTGCTTATTCCTTGGAATTTGCTATAGATTCACACCAGAGGTGGATAAAGGATGGTGTCTTGGTCCTTTCTGTCAGATAAAGCCAGAGTTCAGGAATTAGATTAAAACTTTCTTGGGCTGCCAATGAAAGACTATGAAAAAAAGAAAGGGAATGGGTGAGATCAATGAGCCTGGCAAGATGACACGCTGGAGAACTTCAAGGCCTGAGCAAAAACCTACTGGTGCAGCTCAAATGACAGAGAAATATTCAGAAATCTGCAAAGCAGTCACAGCCTCCAGAGCGGAGAAACCATTAATGGAAGCAAGAGGTAACGAAGGAAGGAGGGAGAGGAGCTCATTGACCCCAGAGCTCAAATCAATTGGGGAATTCAGGATCCTCTGTGGCTGGCTTCCCTCATCCTCACATGCACTCTGGGCTCTGAGAAATATTTCATCAAAACCTAGCATCATTCTCCTGCCTCTTTCAGCTTTTTGGGCGGGAAATTGAAGCATTTGGAAGAAATTTGAATGATCTAACACAAAATACTTTTGAGTCTAAATTGTGTCTCCAAAGAAATATTCAACGGAGGACCCAGGCTATTGTATTTGCAGGGAATGTCCTGATGAAGGCAAGAATAGTGCATCTGACTCCATGAAGAGCTAATTTTATTTTTTGACTCCAGAAGCTAATTTATTACTTTATAATACTATATTATATTAAAGAATACTATACCATACTATACTAAAGAATACAATGAATGCTAAAAAGATAATAATGAAAACTTGTGACTCTTTCCAGAGTCTCTACACAGCTTGGCCCCAATTGGCCAAAGAGCCAAAACAACTCACAGCAGAATCCAATGAAACAATCACCTGTAGGTAAACAATCTCCAAACACATTCCACATGAGCACATGTGGAGAAGCAAATGAGATAAGAATTGTTTTCCTTTTTCTCTGAGGCCTCTCAGCTTCCCAGGAGGAAAATCCTGGGTGAAAGGATTTTTTCAGAGAATGTAAATGCCACACCAGACCTCGCTGCAATAATTAGGATGAAGATTAAATGCACCCACCCACCCTGCCACGCAGCCAAAGGGGTTTGGTGTAATTTGGAGGCTGTGTGAGCCCAAGGACTGGCACCAGAACCTCCAGACACAGCATCCCACAGAGCTGTGGGTACAGCCAGTGTTGGTGGCTCTCTGGGGGCTGGGAGCTCCATCAATAGTGAAGAAAGGCTGATTAAAATGACAGATGAACCAAATCCATCCTTTGCCTGCCTCTAAATAGTTCCTGAGTCTGTTTTAAGTGGCATTGACCTATGGTTATGGCATGAGCAGAGGGCTCTGGTGCCTAGTTCAGAAGAGTCATGTCTCTGAATTAAGGCTTTTCTATTTTGATTGTGGTTTTCTGCTGAGAATTGGATTTCAGAGGCCTCGCTGGGGTCAAAAGCAGATATTGTTTCCATTACTTCTGAATGCAATAAATATTTTCCCTGTGAAATCTCTTGCCTTCCATCTCTATGTGTTAAAAGATCATTCCAGCAGAATTTTAATTACCCTGAATACTTGGTGTTATTTGAAAAATAGGATGACAGAAGAAATGTCAGGAGCAAAATGTGAAAAAGGAACTGTAATTGCAATATTTTATGTGTTGAATTTAGTCCAAAAAAATAGCCTGATAGGGAAAAATTGTTCTACAACATCATAATTGATGTGATGGAGTGGGATGCTGAGGTTCATGTCAGAATAAACCTGAGACAAAGCCACAGTTCTTCAGGTTTTCATCCCTCAACATCAGCCAAAAGCCAGGCAATGCTGCCATGCTTGGACAGACATCCCTGTTTGTGCAAAGTGGTGACTGGGGGCTTTCACATCAGGGTCTGCCCCAGCATTTCCTTCAGCCTTTCTGCAGCATTTCCCATGCAGATACAATTTGCACATTTAACATGCTTTGAAAGTGGAATCTGGACAATTTGGGCTGGATTTGGTCATTATGTGCTGGGAAAAATAAGCTCCAAAATGTAAAATGGTGTTTGGATTGTCCCTGCAGGCCACAGGAACAGGCTGTGCCATCAAAGCCCACTCAGCTGTGCCCTGCCTGGATGGCAGGGACAGACAGACAAGGACAGACAGACAAGGGCTGTCTGTCAGCCACTACAGGATTTTCCCTCTCATGGTTACCTTGCACATCCCCAGAGCAGAGTCCTGTGATGCTGAGAGCCCCTGGTTATCCCTGACAGGTTGGGTGGGGAGGGAAGGCAAAGACAAGGCAGGAGGGTGATTGCAGGATCTGGATCAGGGAGGGCCCTCCATGTCCTCTGAGAGGAAAACTGTGGATGCTGACAGTCTGGTCAGGGAGAAAGTCAGATAAACTTGCCCAGGCATTGCTCTGAGGGAGCTTTGAGAAAGCTCAGAGAGAGAATTAAAATAATCTTTCATCTTTGCAGCTGGTGTTTTGAACTTGTTTTTTGCTTGTAAGATGTGTACAAGAAGAGTGTTCCTAATTAGCCAGTGAGGTGTGGGGTGTTGATTGAGGACCAATCAGGTCCAGCTTTCTCGGAACAGTCTATAAAATAATGTGATATTTAATAAACTTCACTTCTGAGAAGACTTTGGAGTCTGTATTGCTTCATTCAGCTGTCCCTAATACAACAGTGACAGAAAACAAATGTCCAGCTGTGCCCCTGTGCAGAGGAGGGGCCAGAGGATGTACCTGCCTCACCATGCATGTTTAACGTGCTTTGAAAGTGAGGGCTGGACAGCGTGGGCTGGGATCTGGCCATTATGAGCTGGAAAAAATAAGTTCCTAATGTGAGCCCTGCAGGTGCTCACAGCACTCGTGCCCAGCTCACTCTGCTGTTCTGTGTAATTAGGATATGACAGAGTGAATGCTGGAAATGTGCTCTAAATGCCCCCCTGGACTGAGGGATGCTGAAAATTGTAGATTTGTTGTACCATCAGGGTTAATGGAGTCTGTTTGCTCCAGCTCTGTGTCTGATCTTTCCTGTGAGTCTCTAATGCCAGTGCATGAGGGGGGAATGTTTCTGATGGAAGCTCCCAGGGAGGTGCGGCACAGCAGGCCTTGGGGAAAAGGGTCTGCATGGACCCCCAGACCAGAATAGGGAGGGTTCTGAAATCCCCACTGCTATAAATTCAACTGGAAATAATGAGAAATGAGCGTCGAAGTGCAGAGTGGGCTGAGGATTCTTTCCTGGACTAGGTTTTTATGCAAAATATCCCATTGAGGGCTGTGTGTGGTAATGGAGGGCACCTGCCTGCAGGAGGGGGAAAGTGCTTTGTTTTGGTTTGAAAAGGTGGGATCATGGATTGAGAGCAGCCCTGGACTGTGTCTCATCAAAGGCCCTGTGGAATTAACAAGATATGCAAATGTATGCAAATTCTGCCTTTAAACATAGAGGATTTAAACATGCTAATTAGATGCATATTAATTTTGTAAACAGACACAATGTCTGATCCGTAGCAAAGGCATCTCCATTCTTTTGGTAGAGGGAAAGGTTTGTGTGAGCTTTACAGAGACAAAAGTGGGAAATGGTGGGGGAGATGGGAGCTCAGGTCCCAGCAGAGGCTGGGAAAGGTGTGAGCAGAGAGCATGAATGGACAATGATACAGAAATACATCTCTTCATACACCAGGAGGTGCTGACAGAAAAGCTGAAAAACTCCTGAAATCTTAAAATTCTTCCATGCTGTGAGTGTGTGAAAGTGAAACCAGCCAGCCCATGGTGATGGACCAGGGGGCATCTCAGGGGTGACAAGGGTTTTCATCAGAAAATGCCAATTCTTATCTCCAACTTCTCAGTTATGTGGGAGACGTGGCCTGTGGGCCAGGACAGCTCTTGATGCTGCTGCTGCCAGCAGGGAGCCCTTACCTGGCTATGACAAAGAGCACACAGCTGACCCCCAGGTAGGCAAGGAGGATGTACATCCAGATGTCAGGAGAGAGAGGGTTGAGGAAGGAGAACACGCTGGGGTTGGTCCCGTTGGGCTTCCTGTAGAGGATGCTGACCCCCAGGGTCATGAAGGGCTTGGAGAAGTCGATGGCTTTCTCCCGGACGTGCGTGATGGTCAGAGGAGCCACGGCCAGGTCAGCTTTCTGCAAAGAGGGGGGGACACAGGCAGGGAGAAAGGAGGAGTCACAAACCGAGGTGTTTCCATCCCCTTGAAGACACCACAGCTCTCACACAGCAGAAACAGGCCAAGAACCCCCAAAGTGCAGCCCTGGGGTTCCCCCCGATGTGGCACATGTGGTACACATTTGGTGTGAAATACAGATGTTGGGAGTACAGTGCTGTGAAGTACAGATATTGGGGGTACAGTGTTTGCAGTGAAATACAGATGTTGGGTGTATAATGTTCACTGTAAAATACAGATGTTGGGGGCATGGCGTTTGCTGTGAAATACAGATGTTGGGGGTATGGTGTTTGCTGTGAAATACAGATGTTGGGGGTACAGTGGTTGCTGTGAAATACAGATGTTGGGGGTACAATGTTCACTGTAAAATACAGATGTTGGGGTACAGTGTTTGCTGTGAAATACAGATGTTGGGGGTACAATATTCACTGTAAAATACAGATGTTGGGGTGGAATGTTCACTGTAAACTACAGCCCAACCAAATGGATTTGGTCCAACCAAATTTCAGCTGAGCATATTCTTTATCCTGACAGCTTGTATGAGTTGTGCTTGTTTCTATTATTTCTAATTATTTACTAATTTGTGTGTTAATTCAACGAGCAGCCACATTCACCCTCTTTCTGTTGGTTAAGAGCTGCATTCATTCCTCTCACTAAACACTCATCTAGGTTCTTAAAAGCCACAAGTAAACACATCCAAGGTTTCTTCAATATCACCCTCCTTGCCTGAGCTTTGCAAATCATTCTTTGGGATTGTGAACTTCCAAAGAAACACAGACACATAAATTACAGCTCTGAAGTTGAGCAGAACCTCCCCCCATGCCAGGAGCCCGGGCGAGATTTATTTAACATCTGGTTATGAAAATTAAAATTCTAAATTACCCATGGGTGATAATTACCTTGAGATACAGTAGATTTGTCATTATTCATGGACTTTAAATCAATACTGGCTGGAACATACTTTGCTTCAGCAGGAACTGTAGGAACCAGAGCAGGCCTGTGCTGGGGGTAAAGGTTGTACTAAAGGTTTCATTCGACCTTGCCAATCTGTGATCAAGTCAGTGCAATATTTATAAATAAAGGAATTTGGGCCTTTTACTGTAGGAGGAATCTCTACATGAGCTTTTGTCCATTTACACGTGTGTGTGTAAGGGACCCCTCCTTTAAGTGCAGCCTTAGAGCTCCTGAACAGAGGCCTTCAGGAATGATGTAACAAGGGCAAAAATGATGTGGTTTTGTTCTAACATGGCTCTCCAGCTGCTCCCTGGTTTTCCTTCCTTCTCACTTTACAGATGGAAATTCATTTTTACGTCAGAGCTCATTTCAGTCACCGCCATTTGTCAAAACCTGTGGAAAATGGGAACAACATTTTCCCAGTGAGCCCATTGTGCCAGCTGTGCTTGTGGTGACATGGACAGAAGCTGAAGGGGGTTGGAGGTGGCATTGGTGTTCTGCACCCTGGGGACCATCCTGGCAGCTTTGGAGCTTGGCTGCTCCCACCACCTCACAGCACACCTGGAAATTTTGGCTTAGCGCTCCGCACAGTCACAAGGCAGAAATGGCAAAAGAAATGCAGCATTTTCCCTCCTCCATCACTCCTGTGTGGGTGTCCTGACTCACCAGGGAAAGGCAAAGAAGATGTGGAAGGATTTGGCAATGGGTTTTTCTGAAGGAGGCAGCAAATGTTCTGTGGTCAGAGCTCACTGGCAATGGCCAGGCTGGGGGATCCTCAGCCAAATTAGTCAGAACAATGCAGTGAGCTACAGAACAGCCTGGAGTTTGTGCTTTGCCACAGAAAATGAAGAGAGAGAGCTCTGCATGGATGCCCAGGGATCCAACTGCTTTTAGCACAGGAATAAAATTTTACTGTGTGTCTCCAGCAGCTCCTGTGATGTGCTCCCAGCCCTGTGTCCTTGCAGGGAATGTCACATTCAGGCAGGGCGGAGCAGGGATCCTGGAGCCTGGGCTGGGGTGTGTTCTGAGCAATTAGAGGCAGCACAGGGCTGCACTTCCACATCCTTTTTATCAATGCAGATTTTTCTGAAGGTGGCCTCTAATTAAGGCTTTGCTGACAGAGAGGATCTAAATCAAACCCACCAAGGGTGAAGCTTTGATTTGTCGTGCTCTGACATTCCAAACTGGGCAGTCAATTACCAGACTCTGGCTGCTTCCTTTACTCAGCCCTGGCTCGTGTGCTGTTGCACAGTCAGGTGGGTTTTATTAAAGATGAGGAATTAGAGCAAGTGCCAGTGGCTTAAAGACCCTTGTCCAGCAAAACCACTTAAGCCTGCACCTCTGTTTTACTGGAGCTCACACGTCTTCCAAGTCTTGTGCCTGTTCTTAAGTGTTCTGCTGAATTGAGGCCAAAAAGATGAATTCTGCCAAGGCACATCAAACACAGACACTTCTCCTACACACCTCCAAGGGTTTGGATCTCCTCATTCACCTACTTCCAGCATTTCACTTGGCTGGAACAGCTGTGAGTTCACCACAGGGTGTTCAGCACAGGGATGATTGTATTTGCTGCAGAGATATTTGGTTTTCATCAGAAAATGCCAATTCTTATCTCCAAGTTCTCACTTATCAGGGAGATGTGGCCTGTGGGTCAGAACAGCTCTTGTGCAGCCATGGTCACTGTGGGAATCCTGCAGTGCCTGACCTCAGCCAGAGCCAAGCTGCAGGCAGTGACTGGTCATGGCAGAGCCCACCAACAGCATAAGCACCAAGATAAATATTTATTCAGGAAAAGAAGCTGCCTCTGTGCTTATTTTGCCAATCTGCGTTAGGTATTTACATAAACTAATCATGTGTGTGTTGCCTGAGAGACAGAAATAGTGTGTGTGTGTGTGTTTTACTGATTTAATTGTTACCCAGGTCTGGCACTGTCATCCCTCAGTGTCTCTTGCCACTGCCAGCACTGGGGCTTCTGCCTTGGGCCCTGTCTCTGCTCCCTACTCTCCTTGCTTTGTTGCTGTGCCCTGCTCCTGCTCCATTCTCAGGTTTCTGTGGTTGAGATGACCCCTGAGGTATCAGAAAGTCTCTTTTTTCCCAGCCCCAAGACCGAAGAAGAAGTTGAGATTTGTCAGTTCTGCTTTTCAAGGTTGTTTATTTTCTCTTATCTATAACATTCTCTCTCTGACCTGCTGGGGTCTGTCTGGCAGGTCAGTTTGTGGCACAGTCCCTGCCCTTGGGGTGGTGTTGGCTTTTTATACTAAGAACTACCTGTACTTTATTTACAATAATTTTCCAATATGATTCACCTATGTCAGACACTCTGTCTCTACTCTAAACCAACCCAGAAGTGTCACCATCACAGCAGAAGATGGAGGGCAAGAAGAAGAAGAAGGACAGGACATGCCCAGATCCCTCCATCTTGCCTCTTGAACCCCCATTCTAAAACCCCCAAATTCTACTTTTTCACCCTGTGACAAATTCACTATCATTCTACTCAAACTCTTGTGGCTTGTAAATCTTCACACAACATTGGTAATTGTTTCCATGGGCTAAAATCAAAGGCTCAGGTGTTTGTGACTCTGTGCCAAGGTCTCTGAGCCCCTTGCCAGGGTCTGGAGTCACCCAGGGCAGCCAGAGGAATGTCCTGGGTTCTGACACTCCCTGTCCCCAGGTTGTGCTGGGCTCACACCTGCCCAGCAGCAGAGCATGGCTCAGAAAGGAGGGGCTGCTGCTGCTGGGGCAGGTGTGGGGGTCTCTGAGAGCCCTGTGCCTGCCCAGGGGCAGGGGAGCACTCTCAGGGGATGCTCAAGGAGAGCAGGGTCAGTGCCAAGTGTCTGACTCCAGCTCTTAATGGCTGCTCTTGCAGTCTCAGTCCTAACTAGACATCATTTTTGTCAATGGATTTATTCAATATTGGGGTGAGTTAAGAACAGATGTTGGCAGGAAAACCCTGAGCTGAAGGGGAGGAATGAGGGCCATGAGATCCTGTTGGGCCTTTTGTAATCTTCACTTTAAGGAAGAACTCCAGAGCTGGAACTGCCATTAATTGTACCTGAGGGATGTGAAGGATGGAGGATTCAGGTGAGAATGGCCCTGCTGTGAGAAACAAGCCCTGTCCTATGGATGCCTGGAAGGTGAACCAACCAGCAAAGGGCAGGGACACCTGCAGAGCACACAGAGAACCTGAAATCCCAATACACTGATCCTTCACCTGGATCTCTGAGCATGACCCAATCATGAATCCACCCAATAATGATCTGAGCACAAAAGGAAAAGCTCTTCTGGTTTATTTCCAACCTGTGACAGTGTTCACAGGAGTCTTAGGATGAGGGAAGAGACGAGGATCTGACTCCATGTTTCAGAAGGCTGATTTATTATTTTATGATATATATTATATTAAAACTGTACTAAAAGAATAGAAGAAAGGATTTCATCAGAAGGCTGGCTAAGAATAGAAAAAGAAAGAATGACAACAAAGGCTTGTGGCTCGGCTCTCTGTCCGAGCCAGTTCACTGTGATTGGCCATTAATTACAAACAACCACATGAGACCAATCACAGATGCACCTGTTGCATTCCACAGCAGCAGATAATCATTGTTTACATTTTGTTCCTGAGGCCTCTGAGCTTCTCAGGAGGAAAAATCCTAAGGAAAGGCTTTTTCATAAAAGATGTCTGTGACACCATCCTGTCCCTAACACTGAGGTCCTACAGTGTCTAAACAAAAGGTAGAGGACACATCCAATTGAATTATTTGCTCCATATCCCTGGCCCAATGACATCCAAATGAAGCCCCAGTTCATGACAAGTGAGATAAAACATCCACCAGTGCAGGAGCATTAATGGGGAACTGGCAGTGTGGTGCCATATGTATTTCTGCCAGAATTTACTGTCAGAAAATGCCCACTTATTGTGGAATTGTTAAATCAACTGTCAAGAATAGTCCCTAAGGATGGATATTACAAGTTCTCCACAGTTGCCATTGGCAGGGATTTCCATCAGAAACCCCAGTATTTGCCACATCTCTTTTACTCCCACCTGAAGTTTCAGATTGAATGGCAATGTGATGTGCACTGTCGCAGCAGAAGACAAGTTTTATTTGCGAACAAGTTTGTGCAAAATGTCCAGAACAACTCATTCTGCTGGTTTTATGGGATTCTGCCCACAAACAATAGGGAAGATTTGCAGACATTGCTTTGCCAGACAACTGGAATTTATAAATCAGAATGGATGGGCCACGGTGTGCAGTGGAGCTTCGCTTGTATCAGTAATAATTTCTATGAATAAACATCAATAGCAGCTCACTGTTGCTGAAAGGAGGAGGTTTGGCAGTTGTCAGGCTCCCTGTTTGCTATGAATAAAGGGCTCAGGAGCTTCTCTGCATCACCTGGGTTGCCCAGACCTCCCTGAATACCTGAGTTCAGCTCTCGTGGCCCTTCTGATCAAGGCTCCTCTGCGGGAATGGCCAGAGGGGTGACAATAAGCAGTGGGCTGAGGTTACTTCTCCAGGGAATGAACTGAACTCCTCAAAACAGGGACTTTTTGTGCTGAGGATGAGCAGCAGATGAAAGGCAGCAGGGCAGGGCTGTTGCACGAGGCTGCATGAGGCTGTTGTCTCTGGATCTGCTACTGGGGACCTGTCAGAGGCAGGGTCGTGCTGTGGCTGCTCTGATTGCTGTTGCTTTTCCTGTTTATGCTTAAGGCCAGACTAGAAACACAGGGATTTTACAAAGGATCATAGCCTGAGGCATCCCTGCCTGTGGCCAGGCACGTCTGGATCAGAGGGAGAGGAGGGGGAGGATTCGTGACTGCAGCCAGCTCACTGCGTAAACACCTGTCCCAGCACATTATTCACCTTTGGGGTGCCAGCTTCTGGGGATTTACCCCTTTGGTGACAGCACCTTTGTCCCCTAGACACTGCTGTCATGCACCTACCCAGGCCACCCTCACCCAGCTCCTCTGATGCCATCTCCAGCCCAGGGGACAGGTGCCCCTTGCTTTGCCCATCTCCTCCTCTCCAAATTTCAGCCTCAGCTGAGTTGGCTGATTCCTGGGATGCAGAATCTGCTGATTCCTGGGATGCAGAATCTGCTGATTCCTGGTATTCAGAATCTGCTGCTCCCACAGGTCCCAGGCCCTCTGAGCAACAATAATCACCCTTTTAGCCTCTCACCTCACCCCCTGCTCTGCCCAGGTCATTCAGGGAGCCCATACCAGCTCAGCCCACCGGTGTCACAGCAGCCCAGCGGGCTAAGTGGGTCTTCAGCAATGCAATGGATTTCTGCACTGAATTAATCCTGCCCTGGGTATTTGGACTTCACAAAATCCTGCCTGCTTTATGCTCCCACCTGAATAATTCCAATTTGTTTATGAGAAGGAGACGCTGAACACAGAGGAAAGCCAGCTCAGACGTCAAACTCTGGATGTGGCAGCCCTGTTTTCAGGGCTTAACACGGAGGAAAACCAGATGAACACAGAGGAAAACCACCTCAGATACCAAACTCTGGATGTGGGCAGCTCTGTTTTCATCACCACCACTCGATTTGAATGCTGTCTCTAACACTTTTCCTCCTGGGTGTGAAATAGGCTCAATCTGGCCTGTTGCAGGGTCCATGAGTTGTGCCTTTCCCCACACCAGGGGAAGATGCTGCTCAGGAAGGGCCCATCTGGCTGCCATTTCACTTCTGAAGGCTTTACATAAACACTGCTATAAAAAGCAATGGCATGCAGATAAAGGAGCTAATGGCTTCATGTGGGGCCTGGGCAGTGTCCCTGCAGGCACCAGCTCAGCCACGCAGGACAGAGCACAGAGCTGCATCTCAGAGCTAAGAACTCAACTTGCCTTGGAAGAGGATGTTTGGCCCTTTCCTGCTGCTGTGTGTTGGTTTGCTTTGTAGATAGTTACCCAAGAAATGCTACCATGCAGGTTTGACCATGAAGTTTGTATTATTTAATGAGATTGCTCCTCAAATCTCCTTTTTGTCTATCTCAGGTAGCTGACCACAGCTTTGGGAATGACTGAAGCCTCCTGAGAGCCTTGTGGCGTCTTGCAGGACACTGGAAGTGGCATGGTTTGGGCTGATTGACTGTCTGGCTTCTATTCACTTGGGAGGGATTTGTTCCTTGTGAGCTCTGCAGTGCAGTGAGAGCTCCAGAGCCCATCCCAAGCTTTGAGAGAGCTCCAGAGGCTGCTCCCAGCACTGAGAGAGCTCCAGAGACTGCTCCCAGCAGTGGGTGAGCTCCAGAACCCATTCCCCACAATGGGAGAGCTCCAGAGGCTGCTCCCAGCACTGAGAGAGCTCCAGAGGCTGCTCCCAGCAGCAGACCCAGGCAGAGGAGCTGTGTCCCAGGGGGCTCTGCCGAGGGGCACAGCTGCCACTCGGTGTCAGCTCTGATCTGTGTCACTCACATCACTCGGAGCAGCAGAGCTTCCACTGGGACACTGCCACTCGTCCAACTCGGCAGGGCTGTTGTGTAAGAGGCTCTAAAATCTGTGGTTTGAGCTGCACGGAGTTTTCCAGAAGGAAAAGCACCAAGGCAGGTTTGCAGAGCTCCCCCATGAGATGGAGTCCTGCTCCCCAGGGCTGTCCTTGCCTGCCCTTGCTGCTCTCCTGCTCTTTGGGCCAGGCCAGCCCAGGGCTGCAGTGCTTGTCACAAACTGATTAAGCATCACTCTGTCCCTATAAAGGGACATAATAATTATCATCTGCATTTTACAGATGGAGGAAGCAGTGCACAGAAGCAACTTGTCCAATGTCATTTAGGGCAGAGAGAGCAGATTGGAAGCCCAGCCCAGCTCCTGAGCCACTCATCAGTCCCAGCCAGTGCTTGACTCTCCCCACACCACAGTGACTCACTCAGCAAACTCATTCTTCCCCCATGAATGGTAAGACCATCACAGCTCTACAGGGGATTATTTTTGTGTCTTTGCTGCTTAGGCTGTGGATTCAGAATGTAGCCAGGACCTGGGGGTGGTCGAGGGCTGCCCCACTTGAGCAGGATGCTCAGGAGGAGAGCACTCTGCACTGCCTGCGCTGCTGCCTGTGCTGCAGAGAGCAGCATTCTTTTTGTCCTCAGCTTTTCTTCCAGAGGCCTTCTCTGGGAATCAGATATTCACAAAAACACCAGCTTTCCTCACCTCCATAACTGGGCCCTTGGGATCACAGGATGTGCTGGAGGCAAGATATCTAATTAGCAAACTGAGCAAGCTCTGGCCGCGAGTGGCGGTTTCAGAGGCGGCGGCGCTTTGGCGGCTGCGGGAGCAAAGCTGCTGCTCCAACAGGTTCCCTGGGGCTTAAAGGGCTCCTGGAAGTGGCCAAGGAAGGAGAAGCACAGCTGCTGTGTGGCAGAGGGAGCTCTGTGTCCCAGGAGAATTTAGTAAATAAGTTGCTCTTATAGAAGATAAAAAATGAAACTGTCCAGGGCACACCTGCTCCCGCAGTGTGGATGTCTCCTCTGGGCTGGGCTGTGTCTGGGACATGCCTGGGCTCCCCAGGCTGCATTGGTGCTGTGCCCTTGCCTGTGTTTGTCCTCGGGGGTGAGAGCAGCTCATGCTGCCAGTCCAGGACACCCCATGTGCCCCTGGTCCAGGGGAAGGCTCTTCCCTGTCCCCACACCCAGCCTACGTCCCACTGTGGGACAGGCTCTGCCTGGAGCCACTGAGCACATTTCTGTGCAGGGAGAACTGCCCTTTTCAGGAATTTCAAATTAATATTTGGAAGAGCCAGACACAGAGATATTCTGGCAAGCAGTGCGACAAGGAGCCAAACAGGGTCAGGAGCTCGCTGTGGGTATTATGGGTCAGTGAGAAATTCACCTGTCCCACCCCAGAGAGCCAGCCCAGGGATGTTGGGAAGGATGAAAGTTTGACAACAAAGCCTCACAGATACGTGTGCTTGGTAGAAAGATTTTTGACTGTAGAATTTGAAGAAGGAATAGAAATGAAAGCAAGTTTTGATAGAGAAGAAAAGAATTGTTGAGCCAATCTTACTGGATAACTAAGGAGGCAAAGGGTGTGTTAGTTAGAAGGGATTTTTATGACTTAGAGCAAAGGATAAACCCACCCCAAACAAGAAGATGCTTTTACCAAGCAAAAAGATAGCACAGGCAAACAAGTCAACAGATGTTGCAAGTAAAAAAGAGTCTCAGAATTTTCCACTGCAAGAAAACTGAAAACCAACTTCTAGCTTAAACTGTAACGTACTAACTTTTAGTGATTGGAGAACAGTAACATGAATATGGTAATTATATTAGTTATGATAGGCTATAGATAAAAGTTAAGGTATAGATTGGTTCTGCTGTATTAAGATGCTCAGCAAAGAAAAGTATATAATGCATTTGTAACCAAAAGAAAAGTATATAATGCATTGTAACCTAAACTAAGGTTTCCAGGCCTGCCTGCAGCTGGAGCTGGCAGCTGTAGGCACAGGCTCTGTCACCCACTATTCTGGACTCCTGTAACATCTTGAGTGTAATAAACTGCATTCTGGAGAACAGTCCTGCATCCCTCATTCAGGCTCTTACAGTGGCGGGCACAGCCAACCCTCGTCAGCCACCCATGGGCTCACTCACATGGTCGATGAGCTCCTTGATCATGCCATTCCACTGGCCCTTCTCATCCTGTGCCCCGTATTTGCCGTCCTCCACCAGGCGGATCTCGTAGGAGAAGCCCAGGATGATGGCCAGCTCCTTCAGGAGGTCGATGCAGTAACCCTCGAAGCGGTCGTTCCCAAACAGCGCCGTGTCAGATTTACGGAACATCACAAAGGGCTCCTCCTGCCCAGGGAAAGCAAAAAGTCCCAGTTCAGGGTCAGCTGGAGGCAAGGCCACCTCTGCAGGTCAGCTCGAGCCGCCAGGCACCGGCTCTCCAGGCAGGGCTGGCACTGTGACATGTTGGGAATAAATTAACTTTGCACAGCGCATCAGCTAATTAGCAACCTTGTTTACCCCACAAAATTTAATTTTGTCTCTTCTGAGCAGCCAACTGTTTTCCATTTGGTAGGATTTCAGGGAGAAAAATAACCATTTGATGCTCTGAAAATGAAGTGTTAGAAACAGCAAAAGAGGGGGAGGACAAACTCACCCCCGTGCCCTGCACACAGTACCTGCCATTCACCACAGGATTGTGGTGGAAATTCAGGGTTTGGGAGCTGTGCATGGCTGGGGCGACCCCAAAACCTCCCCACTCAGCTCACTCTGTGCTGGCACTGCCTGATGGACACTGCCCTGCTGCTGCCCAGGGAATCTTAGTGCTGTGTGCTGCTCTTCTGGCTACCTGGGAGAGCTGGGGGTGTGTAACCTATAGCAGGGCTCCAGCACAGGGGACAGGAGCTAAAGCACCTGTGGATCCCTCCCCTCGAGCAGGGGCTGGCAGGTGGAGTTGAAATGGACACACAGAGAAGTCCAGCATCCTTTGGTGCCTCTCAGGCTTGGGCAGCCACTGAAGACGAGCAACACTGGGGAGCCTGAGGGAAAAACGTGTGGAGGACAGATGGAAATGGAAAAGGTGGTGGGCAGCAGGCAAGAGCTGGAAGGCAAGAGGAGGCTGAGGTACCTCCAGTGAGTCCCTGGCTCAAGCTGGGGGTGTCTGCAGGATTCCTGTCCTTGCTGTGGGGTGGCCAGAGAGGGAGGGTGAGGGAGGGCTATGCTTTGTGCTGGAAAATGCCTCCTGTGATTTTACCCAGGCATGGGGGGGCTTGAAGAGGTGGGAGGGCAGGTCTGGAGCCATCATTAGAGCCCTGTCACAGTGCCTGGTTTGGGGTGGGGTGCTCTGGGGAGGGGGCTCAGGTGATGCTTGTCTTTGCCCACCTGCCAGCCCCAGCTCTGCCCTGGGGCTCTGTGCTCCCACGGAGGGGCAGGGGATGCTCCTTTGACCCAGCAGCAGGGTCAGGAGGGGACGTGGCAGCACACAGAGCCCCATTTGCAGAGTTCTAAAGCCCAGCTGATCACATCACGCCCATGGAGTTTAGCTTGGCACGCGCAGCTCGGCTCAATCCTGCGCTCCCCCGCCGCCTCCTCAGCTTTCTGCTCTGGAATTAGTGCTTTGTTTGTGAATCAGCTGAATCTATGGATCTCGATATAAATCCATGGCTCCAGAGCAGCCATAAAGCACTATTAATTTTGGGAAGCGCTGTAGGGATTACATACATATTTAACAGCCGAAGCACTGAACATTAGGACGCCGCTCGCTTCAGTAATGTATCTCCAGGTCTCAAACATTTCCTAGGGGGTAATTCTGAACTCTGTGAACCACTTATTCACGGACTATTTCACAATTTATTACTGAAAATAGCCAGACATCCAATTCACAAGCTCTCTCAGTTTGCTAATCGATTTCTCAGTGAAGGTGCCCTCAATTTCATAACTTCACAGTTCCCATATTGCTTGGGGAGAGCGGCACTGGCTGCTGGGGTAATATTTCTCTTCCAACAAGTCACTGCAATACGAGCAAAAGGGGAAAAAATAGCCTTTCATGCTTTTTCTTTTAAAGGCTCCTCCTATGGCTCTTCTCTCGTCATTTACAGCAGTGCAGAACTACAAAGGGGTGTTGCAAATGCAAATAACATCCAGGGCTCTATTTTATGTTTCAGACTCTGGCATACGCAGTGCAATCACTGCAGAACTCGGGTCTGAGCACATTCCCTCCTCCTCTGGGCACAGGGATCCAGGACAGCCCTGGTTCCAAGGTGGAAACCCCCTGGCACATGTGCAGGCCCATGGAGTGGCACAATTAATGGGAACTGATATCACCCCATGCCTTATGTAATTCCTACGTGCTCGCAGAGCTCGAGATGGAAATGTTGCCTGAAAAATGCCTGTCAAAGGCAGATGGCTGACAGTCCCCTCCTGGCTCCATCATTTTGCATTATGCCACGGCCTTTGAGGTATGGTGGGAACCACGGCCTGGACCCAGACAATTCCACAGCCATGGAAATGTTTAATGGGAAAAGATGTCATGTGGTAGATGGGAAGTTCGTCAGGAGGAGTGGCTGATTTGCAAGGAAAGCTGCTGCAGCATCTGTCTTTGGCTTATGTTCAGCTTCCACCCTGCTAACCCCTTACTGAGGAATACAAGACCTTTGATTCCAGCCCTTCTGCCCTAGACCAAGTGTCCCCTTCCTCTGCTCCCCTCTGGGCACCTTGGTCCCATTCCTTTTATGATACAAATCCACACTATATTGAGTCCCATCCTTTTAAAAGGCACTGGGGTGCTGTGAGCTTTCAGAGACATTGGGGATCCCTGGGATATCCCTGGGGTTGTGGGGAAGGACAGTGACAGGCTGGCAGTGCCCTACCAGCACCGTGGTGACAATCAGGGATCTGTTGCTCAGCGAGTCCGTGACGTTGGGCCCTCGTCCTTTGGAGATTTCTGTGATGTTCAAACCATCTGAAGGGCTCCATGCTCCAACCTGAGAGGAAGCAAAGCAACACAGTGAACCCCCATCTGCAATTCATCAATCCCTACCTGCATTCCTTAATGTTCCCGGCATCCTACTGGCCTGGAAAAGAGAATTTCCCTCTTTTCTCTGCAGCAAACAGCAGCAAAACTGGAATTACCATGAATTAACCCTTCAGCTGCAGGTGAGCCCATGTTCCACACGTGGTACATGTTCCACAGCCCCTGTGCTGCTGCAGTGGATGAAGACTGTGGGGGCTTGAATTTAGGGGCTGAATGAATGAATGAATAATTTGCAAAGGCACTGCATTGAGCAACAATCAAACTGCACTAAAGAGTCAAATCTGGGCAAGGATAAAGCACAACGAAAGAAAAATAACCACAAATCAGAGTCCATTTTCTTTCTTTTCCATTTCCCCACCAATTTGCTTTGGTGGAGAGGATTAAAAAGGGCTCGACCAGCTCTGCAGATCCCCGATAGGGCCCATTCCTGCTCTCTGTGCCGTGGCAAATCAGCTGGAGGTTTTTAACACACCTCTAGGCAGGGCCCTGGCCTCCCCTTTGGGAAATTCCTGCAATGGGGGGGTCCCAATCCTGGCTGCAAACCTGGAGGAGGGGGTGGCACAGGCACATCAGCTCTATTTCAGGTGCTCTGTTTTCTCAAGCTGTCAAACGTAATAAATTATTAGACTTCAATGAAGTCTATTGATCCAGAAATGGCAAAGCATGTCTCTGTTTAAGGAAGTCATCTGGCCGAGGCTAAGCCTGTTAACCTGATCTCCACGGTGCAGGGGAGCCTTTGGGACAAACTTTGAAGGCAGGAGTGGCTAGAGGACTGTGACAGAGAGATAAAATGTCAGGAAAGCTGCAGGAATGTGGGAGTGCTGCCAGAAAATGGAGCGGGGTGGCCACGGAGCCAGCCTGGCAGGGAGAATAAAACAAACCCCACCTGGAAATGGGAACAGAACGATCCATCTGTAGGGTCAAACTGCAAGGTGGGACTCGGAGAGAAGCCAAAGGCAGGCAGCTCAATCCACCCGGGAGCCAGCAGCTTCCCATCTTTTATTTATTGCTGTTTTTAAGATTCTTCAGCCTCTTCAGCAGTCCAAGGGGAGAACTTGGTTTTACTGCATCCCCAAAAAGAGACTTTGTAATGAGCAATGCTGCCTGGCAAAAAAAAATTGTCATAAATTCTGGAAGAGTTTCCGTGAACTTTGTGAAAGGTTTTAAATATTTCAGGTAAAACCGAAGCGATCCCCCATCTCTGCCTTGGATCACACAACAGCTGCAATGTCAAAAATTATTATTATTGTGGATGGGAAAAAAGCAAGCCTGAGAGGCCCCAGTTTGCTGCACTGCAGCCCAACTCACTTCTGCCTTGCTACGTTTTCTTTAAGAAAATTAAATGCACGGCACTTAAGACTGAATTAATCAGTTTAAAATATTAAAAAAGGAAGAAAAAGGAAAAAGTGCTTGAAGAGAACTGTGTGAGTCAGATAGTCAAACTATATGTAATTAGGATTTGGTAATACTCCTGTAATCCCTGGAACATCCAGGAGGTATGAGGATCAGGGGGTTCAATCCTAAAGCTCAACAAACATAAGCTGTGATACATAAAGCACAATCCAGCTGGGATTTGTTTGTAGTTTGGTGTTTTGTTAGTTCAGATTAACTATTGACAGAATTCTGGCTTCAACAGAGATTTGACATCGATACTTTAAAACCCCTCTGGAGCTGACACGAAGCTTTCAGGAGAATAATGGTGGGAACTGTGAAATCTCTGAATTATTGGCGACAAAAGTTGATGGGGTGTGCAGGGGACACGTTGAGGTTTGGCAGCTTCCAGTGGGCTTGATGTGACAGAGAACTGCAATAACTCCAGCTGGTGCCAGCTCTGCTCAGCTCACCTGAGAGGTGTTGGTTTGACAGGTGATTCTGTGGCTGTGCTTAAACATTTGGATTCATGTGGTACAAAAGGCTGGAATGTTTTCTATTATCTGCCCAACACAGCTCTCCAGCAGCGCCTCGGTGCTGCTGGACTTCAAAAAAGATGTGTTGTTATTTTTGGGTTAGGCTCTATAAACAAAATATTTTGTGAGGAAATAAGGCTACAAAGGTCAGCTGCTGCTCAGTTCTTGCGAGCACCAGCACCTTCCCCAGCTCTGTGAGACTGAAGGTCACTGGGTTGATTTGAAACGTTTCCTTTATTCCTTATTTGACACCAAAATCTCCCCAGCAGGAGAGAGCTGTGGTGACCTTGAGCTGTGTTACCTGAGGCACCGAGCTGCTGCTGTGGTGGGGAAGTGTGGCTGCCATTCATTTCAAATCCCAGGAAAACCAAACGGTGAGGAAAGGGATGTGGCACGGGAGCCTCCCCTCCAAACAGAGAATAGATCCATGGCTGCCTCCAGCCCTGGGGCTGCCTCCCTGTGCTGAGTGATTAAATTGAAATCCTTCCCTGCTGCCAGCCAGGTGTCCTGTGGGTTCAGAACCTGTCCCCCTGCCCCGAAGGACAGAGCCAGCGCCATGCCCGGCTGCCACGGGCACCTGGTACCTGTCTCAAAGCAGACTCTGCTCTAGAAAGTGCCTTGCTGCCCTGCCAAATTCCTCCTGCACAGGTGATAGACACCTGTAGCAGGAGAGGGACGCAGAGCTGCTCATAGAGTAGTCAGAATCATGGAATTTCCTGGAAATCACAGCTCCATGTGCTGCAGCCACTCGCTGCTCTGTTTGTCATCAGCTGATCTCACCTTGAAACCTGCATTCTAAGGGTTTTAAGGCTCTGTGTGTTGCCTTTTTATTTTAAGTTTGCTTTTTTTAAGTAATTGAAGAGAAAGAAATTAAGTCCCCAGGCACACCTGGGATCAGATTTGCACATCAGCATGGTTTACTGTGCCCAGAGGGGATCTGCACTAATTTGTAGGACCTAAGGCTGCAGTATTCATGCCTTTGACCCTCATGACACCCCCAGCCAGGCAGGCAAAACCACCTTATCTTTTTTCCTTATTGTCCCTTAGATAATAAACAAAATACCCAGCGCATTGTCCTGCAGATTCCAGGCTGTAATAAACTGGGGCTGTTCCCAGCCTTGGGCAATTTCATAGTGGGAAATGACTGCAGATGATGATCTCCAGTGCTGAGGTCTCCTCAGAGAAGAACTGAGGGTTTGTGAGCCAGGCCAGCAAGAGGGAGTGGGACAGGCATCATTCCTGCCTGCTTAGGGCAGGGAGGGGTTAATGGATGCTCAGAAAGTTTCTTTTGCCTCCACTATCCCAGGAAAAGTGCCACAAGCACTTCTGCAATCTGTAATCCCACGCACTGGCTTCAGGGCGAGTGAGTCATGGTTGAGCATGGAAAAGGATCTGAGAAATCCCACAAAGTGAATATCCTTTTATATAAACCCCAGAAACCTGGAATCAATACAGCACCAACCATCTCTCTGTTGCTGAGCACCAGCGTTATCCTCAGCCACATGCAGATAAAACAAACCCTGCCTACCTTTTCAAGGCCGTCTTCTTTGAGACTGATGATATCCAAATCAAAATCTGTCCGTAAACCACTGGTTTTATTAAAGACAATGCGTCCCGTTAATCCTTCCCATTGGGCCTGTGGAAGGGAGAAAAAGTAGCAGGGCTGTTACTCAGTATCATAAATAATCTTTTGCCCTCCGCTGTATGTTCTTTTAATTAGTCCTTATGCTGGTTCTTTCTCCCTAAAGAGCCTGATTAATTAATAATCCCTCCGCTGCTGCTCAGACTGCAGACGGAGCTGGAGATTTCCTTCCCTCTCTTGCAGTCCTTGCTACAATTTCTGTTCGCACCTTTTGTGCTCACCAGCTGTTGCAGGACGTGATGACTCAGTAGAAAACTACTTGCATTTATCACAGCATCCTTGTGAGCTGCCTTCATCCTTGTGGTGCTGATAAACACCACAGCTCCAGCCAGGAGAAATCCCTTTGTGCACCAACTTGCTGCTGCTTCCAAGGTGTGTGGAAGCTGAAATGATGGGGATGCTTCCCTTTGTCCTTCCAGAGGGAGAGTGGAGCAGAAGAGGCCAAAAATGTGTTCATGTAAGCAAGCTCTGAGGTTTGGGGGCATGTGCTGCTGGTGCTCTGCTTCATTTTTTGGCAGCATAAGGATGGGAAGGTGCTCACTGGGACTGGGGACATCCCATTCCCAGAGATTTTTCAGTGCTTGGCTGACTGAGGTCCTGAACAGCCTGGGCTGACGGGGACCAGGAAGAGGAACTTGGGGTAAAGATGCCTCAATTCAATTCCACAAAAAACCTCCTGTAATTAAATTTCTTTCCCACTGTTCACTTTGCAGCACCCCTAGAATGAATCTCTCTGATTTAGGAGGTAATAGAACCCCCAGTGCCAGGTGCTGTGTGCCAGCAGAGCAGGAGCTGGAGGACAGTGAGGTGTCCAATGCCTGGGGACAGTGCTGGGTGTGCTGTGGCATTGTCCTGAGGAGGATGCTCCTGCAGCAATGCCAGGCTGCTGCTCAGCATCACATCCCAGCAGTGTGGAGCTGAGCCTGGGGATCTCTCCCCTGAGCAGCCCTGTGCAGGCTGCTCACTGAGAAATGTGTTTATTTTATGGGTGGGGGAGCTTGAAATATTCCAGTGTGATCAAGGTGGCATAATGTATTCTCAGGGGGAGTAACTGGCGTTTCTCCCAGTAAACACGCTCCTCTGGCTCTCCCTCATTAATTCCTGAGCAGCAGTGACAGCCTGCTCCCAGCCTTGCCACCCTGGAGTCCTGGGGAGGCTCTGTTTGCTCATTTGGGCGTGCAGGTGGTTTGCCTGTGGGATGTGCAGCCCTCGGAGCCCCCCGGGAGCCAGGGAAACACGGAATGTTTGAGGAGCCCAGCTGGAGCAGACACAGCTGCGTGCTGAGCCCCGCAGCTCCCGCGGGGCTGGTGCCTTTGTGGGCTACCTAAAAACAGAGGCCAGACAACATTAAGGCAATAAAAAAGGTTGTATTTGTTGAAGGGTCTTCAGGTACATTTTGGGCAGATGAAGGGCTGCACCCAAAAAAATTGATGACGACAGGTTTTCACACTTTTATAAGTTTGGTCCATTTGCATATTGGTGGTTCATCCTCCAGTTACAGCTTCAGGTCATGAAGTCATTTTACCCCAAGTTTGCTGCCCCCAACTCACTTTTGTTTCCATCTCTCAGAGCCTGAGGCAGTGAGGTGTCCCTGATTGCCAGGCCTGGAGAGGAATTGTTGTCAGCCCAAAACGGGAAATATGTCACAGACATACTTTATGAAAAATCCTTTCATTAGGATCTTTTCTCCTGAGAAGCTGAGAAGCTTCAACTTCTCCATGTTTTGCTGCTTTGGAATGTGATTTGGACAATTGTTTACCCAGCACGTGAAATTGTTTTTACTCAATGACCAATGACAGCCCCCTGTGTCGAGGCTGCGAGCAGTCACAAGATTTTATCATTCCTTTTCTTTTCCTTGCTAGCCTTGTGATGAAATCCTTTCTTCTATTCTTTTAATATATCATTTTCTTTTAATATAATATAATATAACATAAATATGTATAATAAAATAATAATATACAATATAACAACATGGTACATATAACATAATATATATAATTATTATAATTATACATAATTGTTATATAGTTTTAATTATATGTATTATTATTATAATTAATATACATAACATAATAAATCAGCCTTCTGAAACATGGAGTCAAGATTCTCATCTCTTCCCTTGTCCTGGGACCACCTCAGCAGCTCACACTGCATATGGAGCTTAGAGTTCTACACTAAAGAACTCCAGTATTACAAATACATGAAAAATATAAAAGCTAAAATATAAAGCTAAAAATAGAAAAGATAAAATCCTGAGGCACCAAGGGTGCAGAGCTCCAAGTCTAGGGAGTTTTCCAATGCTGAACCTACCAAGCCTCCATCACCTACCCCTGGAAAACGGCTCCTCAGGGGGAATCATATTTATAGTCAATTAAAACCATGTTTTTTACCTCTTTTATGAAGTTCATGAAGCGGCCGCCGAACCTCCAGGCCTTGTGGCGGTGGCACTGCAGGGAGTTGACGGTCATCTGCGGCGCGCGCTGGTAGCACACGGACACCACGTGCACCGCGTCGTACAGCAGGGCAGCGTCTGTCTAAAGGGAAGGGGGACAGCGTTGGTGGCTTGCAGAGTGAAAAATGCCAATTTTGTGATTGGTTTTTTGCAAATATTCAAATGAATATTGTATGTGTTGTGTTAGAAAGTGATGCTGTATTAATTCTCTTAAATAGTGTGTTAAATATGGTTTTAGGTTATAACAAAATGTTATAATAGAAACTATGCTATGTAAGATACTTGTTTTTTCTAAAGAAAGGACTCACACCAAGCTAGCAGCTGCAGGACACCTAAATCTTTCAGAGAAAGAGAATTTATTGCTCCATTATCAGAAGAAATCAACTTCTTCCCGCCTCGCTTGGGCAGGACGTGGTCGTTAGGATTATGAGGAGGAAGTTGACAATGACCAGACAGAATCCTGTGTTTGAATGGAATTTATGCATCATATATGAGATGTATGAATATGCAACAGGCTATGGTTTTTAAGGATTAATCCTCTGTTAACGTGGGTCCTTTTTCGGGCTGCCCAGAAAAGGTACCCGGCCATCCGTAACTCTTTGTTTCTATTGTCTCATATTGTCCTAATCCAAATTGTCCAAATTATTATTCCTCTAATTGTATTACTATTTTTATAACCATTTTATTACTATTAAACTTTAAAATTTTAAAAACAAGCGATTGGCGTTTTTCACAGTAGGAAAAGGTGGAACCCGCTCTGAGTTACCCCTGCCAGCCCCAGGGTTTCTCTGCCTGTGTTCCCTGGTGGTTCCTTGGTTGTTTAGATCAAAAGCTTGGGGTTTTGTCTAAAATCAGCGATTCTGGAAATGCCGTTTGTCTGTTTGGCTTGTTTCTTGCACATTTCCTGCTGTGGTGTCAAAGAGGGAGGCAACGGCTTCTAAATGTGGAAGGTAGTAACAGAGTTTTCTTATTGAGTCTGTTTTGTCTGAGTGTAAAAAAAATATACAAGAACATATTTTCTACACCATTTTATACATGGGAAAATAAGAAACAGAGATGTTTGTGGGCACACAGTTTTCCAAAAATGACACAAGCTGTCACCAAAATCAGGACCTCATGGCTTTGCAACATATTTTAGCATTTCAGTGATCTGAACTAGGGAGAACTTTTTTCCCTCCGTATAATGTGATGATTTTAGATTCAATTTGAGATGCCCCATCTTACATCCAAACACTGATCAGGAGAATTAGATTTATTTTTCACTCTGATGTGGTAAGACCTCCTAGTGAAAATACATTATTTGCTGGCTTCACGGAGCCACGAAACAGATGTGAGTGTAGCAGCAGCGTAATAAACCACAATAAAACAAAATAATACAGCAAATAACTGAGCAAACATCTCACAGGACGTAGCCATGGAGAAAATCCTCCAGCCTTGGCAGCCATCCCTGTGACCTTCCCTTCCCTCAGCAACCAAGCATGAAGAGCAGGAGCCCCACCTGCATCCGTGGGCGGGTATGGACCACAGCAGGGACAGGTTTGGGAATTTGGGGCTGGAGGAAAGGGGGGGCAAGGATATATCCATGCAATTTCATGGTGAATTACAGGCTGTAATGCCCAGCTGAGTCCAGGCCCCAGTGGATAGACACCTGGCAAAGAGGAATCAAAGGCAGGATCCCTCTGAGAGAGCAAAGAGGGGATGGGGACCAAGCTGTGCTGCAGGCACAGGGGGGATCAGCCTGGGGAGAGGCAGGAGCCTGCAGGAGAGTGGGGGTCTCTCCCCAAACAACAAACACAGCAGCAGGGATCTGAGAAACCACTTCAAGGTGAAAGTCTGGGAGGCTTTGCCACTTTCTGGCAGGTCTAAAGGGAAGGGAAGGAGGGAGGCAGTCAGCAGTTCTGGGGGTCGGAGACAGCCTGGCAGGTAAGACAGATGGGCGAGCAGGTGCTGTACCTTCCCAGCAGTAACTCAGCAGGGCAGAGCTGCCATCAGGCCCTAAAAGGAGTCATCAAAGCTGCAGCTCAGCCCATCTCTGCCCATTGCTTTGGCTCTTTCCCCTGCCTCAATCTCTGCAAAATGCCTGGTCCAGCCTGGCCGTGTGCTGTGCTCTCAGCCCTGGGTGCTGGTGTGCCTTTGCTCTTGGGGCTGAGAGCAAAGCCAAAAGGGGTTTGAGGGCTCACAGCTGGACCCCTTTGGGACACGTCCTGGCTACCTGCCTTGTCTGGTGGCAAACTGCTGGCAGCTGGGCCCAAGCAGGAGCATTACCACAGCAGTGGGGTGTGGGCTTCACCCCAGACTTTGAGGGACAATTGTTAAAGAATCCGTGTCCCTCTGCTCTTGGGGACAGCTGGAGTCCTTTGGGACATGTCCTGGCTTGTCTGGTGACAATCTGTTAGCAGCTGGCCCCACAGCAGTGGGGTGTGGGTTTCACCCCAGACTTTGAGGGACAGTTGTTAACATAAGAAAGTGCCTCAGGGCAGACATCTGGGATGAGTTGTTACTTGTACAAAAACCAATAAAAGTAACATTTAGGCCTCAATGACTGTTTCTGCCTTCCCTGCCCTGCTCCCCAGACCCCTGTGCCCTGTTTGAACTGCCCGTACCATCATCACACCATCCAGGAGCCCCAGCTCAGCCTTGGGCGCCGACTGCAGCCTCTCCATGGACCACTTCTCAATGATGGAGGACACATGGGGGTTCTCCACGTTGAGGATCCGGAAGCCGGTCAGGTTCACCCCAGAGTAGCGATATGGTTCTAGGTCTAATGCATAAAGATCCTTAAAAGAGAGAAACCGATTTTAAACATTTTGCTTAGCTTTTGAGTTTTCTGTGTCAATTGGTGTGTCTGTGTTTGGAGCGAGACAGCAGAACCCACAGGAGGTGGGAGGGAGTACAGTGTCACAGACATCTTTTATGGAAAATCCTTTCCTTAGGATTTTTCCTCCTGAGAAGCTGGGAGGCCTCAGGAACAAAATGTAAGCATTGATTATCTGCTGCTGTGGAATGCAACAGGTGCATCTGTGATTAGCCCATGTTGGTTGTTTCTAATTAATGGCTCATCACAGTGAGCTGGATCAGACAGAGAGTCCAAGCCACAAGCCTTTGTTATCATTCCTTTCTATTCTATTCTTATCCAGCCTTCTGATGAAATCCTTTCTTCTATTCTTTTAGTATAGTTTTAATATAATATATATCATAAAATAATAAATCACGCCTTTCGAAACATGAAGTCAAATCCTTGTCTCCTCCATCATCCTGTGAACACGGTCACAGTACAGATCCCTCAGGAATTCAGAGGATTCTCAGAGGATTGTGCTGTCTGCTGCCGTCAGTGGCTGCTTGCAGAGGCCTGGAGGTGTTGGTGCAATTTGGGTGCCGTATGTGCGTGTTCCCCCACACACAACAGAAGGAAACCCCTGCCAAAGAGCCAAAGAACCTGCTCTCAGCATGAAAGAGAGTGGATTGTGGGGAGAAAACTGCCTGTGACCCTGAAAAAGAGATTTGTGACCCAGGGAGGGGGGACAAGGCAGAGTTTGTGTCTGGAGCTCCCTTGGGCCTCTCCACAGAGGATCTGCTGGCAGTACCGAGGCCCACAGGGTGCTGTGGATGACAGAGTCACTCTGAATGCAAAACACCAATTTGCAGACTATCAAAGAGGAACTAAGATGCATTTCTTGACATTCTGGCCAGCCTACACAGTCTGCAGATGAATGAGGGTGCCCTTTATGGGATGTGAAAAGCAGAGCCAGGCAGTGCTCAGCTCTGCTGGCTGCCAGCAAGGCTTGGCAAGGGGCACTGGGACTACTGGGGGGCACTGGGGGAGCAATGCTGTGGGGCAGCTCTTGGCTCTCCACGTGTCTGAATATCAGCTGCAGTGCTCAGGAAGGAGTTTGGGGTTAGACAGCTCATCAGGAGCATGTGGCAGCTGATCTGCGCCCCAAAGCCAGCTCACCTGAGGGGGAAGCGAGGGAGTGTGGTGAGATGGCAGCCAGGGGTGAACCATTTGTTGGATGGGATATATTTCATCAGCATTTATCCTGAACAGCTTCTGCAAGGGTTTCCTGGCAGTTTAAATGCGGGGAGGTGGAAAGGCAACACCACAAGTCTGCAATGGAGCGTGGGGGTGAATATGTGACATTCCCTGCTCTCACAAGGGCTGCTCAAAAATGAGCTTCAGTATGGGAGGAGCTGCTGGGGCTGTTGTGTGCTGTGGCTGTGTCTGTTCTGTGCTCTGTGCTGGGGCTGTGCTGGTGGGACACAGCCACACTGTGGGGCCACCCATCTGCAGCACCCATCTGCCCACAGGGGGCTGGCAAAGTCCCCCATGTGCTGCCCTAAGCAAAGCAGGACAGCAGCAGCACTTGCCAGCAACTGAGACATCATTCTATGTGGGGGAGTGAGGGTTTTATGGCTGCTTTGCTTTAACAAGCTTTGGGGGTTTGATCTTTTCTGTAAGCCTGGCCCCAGCCTCTGCAGCCCCAGGGCTCACTGCTGATGGATGCAGTGCTCAAACCTGCAGGTGCAGCAGGGACCAAACCATTAATCACCCTACAATGGCAGTTGGGACTTGGGTTTTTGGGCCGTTTTTTAACCCTGAAAAATTGCAAGTGCAAACCTGCACGTTCTGTTAAAGGGCACTGTGAAGAACAGGCCACAATGTTGACTTTTAAATGACTTAAGGGAGCTAAGGGCAAATACAGTGGTTTGACCTCAGATAGGTGCTCATGTCTCTGGCTGGGAGGGGTACAGCAGTTCTGTGCCTGACCTGCTGGAATGGCTCTGTTGTTTCAAGATTCATTTTTAATCAAACACTTCAGTTTGTATTCCAGAAATTGTTGTGAGGAAATAATTTTTGGTTGCAAAATCTGATGATTTCCCCCTCAGAATGTGATAAGTCAGATCCCTGAGCTCCAGACCCGATGGTCTCTGCTGCCCATCTGTCAAACCATCACCCCTGGCCACCTCTCAGATCCCACTGGTATTTTGGGTGCTGTCCCTGCCCTGCCGCACCCCACTGACCCTTCCTTTCACAGAATTCCTATAGAAACCAACCTCCCATCAGATCCCTCTTTGATTCCAATTTAAATCTCAGCTGCAGCCTGATTTATCACCTCCCGGAATCAGAGGATAATTCAGAATACCAGCTGAGTGTCAGGACATGGGGAGGTGTGGATGGGAATCATCAGATCAGTTTCTTCTGGATTTTCTGCTCCTGCACAGCCACAAATTGAAACATCTGGTTCTATTTTCCACCTCATCTGCATTCCCTTTCACTCATTATTTTCTGTACTGCAGATTAATTCTTCCCTACACAATTTTGCTCTCAGTGCTGCTGTGATGCTCTCCCCCTTCCCCAGCTTGCCCAGTTTGGGCTCTTTGGTGGCAGCAGTGCTGGGGACTGATCCTCAGTGATGCCACATCCTCAGAGGAGACTGGAAAAGTGGTCCAGGACAGGTGAGGTGTCCCCACATCTCTGCCCTAGGACCTGGCAGGGCTTAGCTGTGGCTGCAAAGCCCCATTTTACAGATTGCTGAGTCTTTGTTTATTTTTCTCATTGCAATTTTGCATTATCTCACTTCAAAAATGTCAAAGAATTAGCAGACTCAAATATTGAGCAAAACAGGAAAAAGTGTTAAGATATAACAAGAGTTTCACCAGGGCTTTGAGAAGTGTTGATAAATGTGTAGTTCCATCTCCAGAAAAAGGCTTTATTTTCTACCAAAAAAAATTGAAAAATACAGAAATTGCAAAAATAATTTCTGTAATATTGGCTTAAAACATGAGAATTCTTCCTGGAAGAAGAGGGACAGAGAACTGCAAGGTGACTGATGATACCAAACACAAAATTTTAAAAAATTCTTATTTTTTTGCTTCCCATTAAGATTTTAACACCTGGTTTCCCATGTTCTGACTGCAAAAGGAAAGACCCTTTTTACTTCACCAAAATGTCACATTTGGACCAGCATTTTCCGTGTGTTTTGAGACTAAACCTGTAATGCAGCTTTTAGATCTGCATAGCTCATCCAAAGCCCCCACAAGGGTGGAGATCTGGGGTGTTCCCTGCAGGGCTTTGGATGTAAAATCTGCATGTATCTGGATGTAAAATTTGGATGTAAAAATGTGACAGGGACCAGTGCTCATCATAGATCCTCCTCCTGCTCCTCCTGTGGTGGAAAAGGCTGATGGGGCTCTTCTTGCTGGAGCCAGTGAACTGTAGTCGTGCTGCCGAGCAAAATGTTGAAGCATTTCATGCCAAGTGTTGATACACTGTGCTCAGTATTGACTGGGGACCTTTTAGAAACATTCAGTATAACATAATAGACTAATTCATTAGCACCCCATGGGTCTCGTACTGGGGAAGCTGAAGCACAGGCATTGCAAGCTAGGAAAACATTGCCTTAAGGAATGACAGATTAAAATATCTTTCCCATGATATAACTGTTATTTCAGGAAAGTGGCATTAATTGTGATTGCTTATCTATTAATTTATTATAATTCCTCTTTTCCCACCTCCGGGCTGTACCTACACATGAAATGTACTCCAGGCTCAGCTGGGGCTGATTAATAGGAGGTTATCTGGGAAATGCTTAAAGCTGCCTGGAATAGATAATGGCAGCAGGGGTAATTAAAATGTCTTTTGCATTTGAAAAATAAATTTTGTAGTTTTTAAGGGTTAGTTTCGTCTGTTTCTTTCCTAAAGGCAAAAAAAAGATAAATTGGATTTTCAAAATCGCACAAAATTCAACAGTAGACTAGACAATAGCATCTTAAATGGAGACAAAAGTGACCCTGCCATGAAAGCCAAATGCCTCCCAGAGGCAGAGAGGACTGGCTCATGTTTAACAGAGGGGTATTGGTGTCAGGCTGAGCTCCCCTCCTGCAAAATAAACCTGCAGGGCTGAAGCTTGGACCACAGCAGGGCTGCTCCTGGCTCCAGAGGAATCAGGGTCCCACCAAATCCTGGATGGGAACTGCAGCCTTGCACTCTCCCTGTGCTCACTGTCAGTGTGTGGGGAGCTACACTGAAATCAAAGCGGCTGGGAAGGAAAATAAAGCCAGAACCCATATCTGTGCACTCCAAAGGAGGGACTGCCCCAAAATTCCTGAAATTCAGTCCCAAAATTCCCGAAATTCTGTCCCAAAATTCATGAGCCAGGAATGGGGAGACATCCTGCAGGAAGAGATGGGAATTCCCCAAATTCCCGGAATTCCTAGAATGAATTCCCAAAAATTCCCAGCATTCCTGAAATTCAGTCCCAAAATTCCTGAAATTAATACCCCAAAAATTCGCCGAATTCCTCATCCAAGAGAGGGGAGCCATCCTGCAGGAAAAGGAGGGACTGACAACTCTCAGGCAATGCTGCAGAGCAGAGGAGTTAGAGCCTGGGGGTCTGACCCTGACCTGCAGCCAGCTCCAGCTCCAGCCCTGCCCTCTCCTCCTGGCAGGGTCCCAGGTCTCCCTTTTCCTTACACTTCCCATCCCATTGCAGTGCAATGCACACCAGGATCAAACACCCATCCCACACACATCCCAGCCCCATCAGTGTGCACAGGTTGTTTTCTGTGTTTCCTCACACCCCCATCAGTGTGCACAGGTTGTTTTCTGTGCTCACATCCCACATCCCATCAGTGTGCACACGTATTTTTCTGTGTTTTTTCACGTCCCACACGCATCAGTGTGTACAAGGTGTGTGCACAGGCAGATACTTTACCAGAGTGGTGAAGATGAAGTGGTAATATTCTGTCATCATCCCCATCGCCATAGCCTTAAGGAGAGGAGGGAAAAGGGGTTAGTAAAGGGATACAAGAACATAACAGCAGCCATACAACATAAAACTCAGAGCTCATAGGTAAATGTGGCAGGAGAGACCCAGAAACACCAGGTTTGGGCTCAAGATTGAGGCCATGGAGCAGTGAAGAAACTATAAACACCAGGTTTGGATTCAGGATTGAGGCCATGGAGCAGTGAAGCAACTGGAAACACCAGGTTTGGATTCAGGATTGAGGCCATGGAGCAGTGAAGAAATTGGAAACACCAGGTTTGGCTTCAGGATTGAGGTCATGGAGCAGTGAAGAAATTGGAAACACCAGGTTTGGGTTCAGGATTGAGGCCATGGAGCAGTGAAGAAATTGGAAACACCAGGTTTGGCTTCAGGATTGAGGTCATGGAGCAGTGAAGAAATTGGAAACACCAGGTTTGGGTTCAGGATTGAGGCCATGGAGCAGTGAAGAAATTGGAAACACCAAGTTTGGGTTCAGGATTGAGGCCGTGGAGCAGTTAAGCCAGGCTTATCAGCAAGAGGTACATGCTCAAGCTGAGCTGAGCAGAGCTGTGGTCCTCAAACCATTCTGAAACCGTGGCAAAGCCTCAGTGTGCAGCTGCCATGAGGGCTGGTGGCATTTCTGGGTGGCACTGGGTGTCCCTGAGTGTGCCAGGATATAGGAATGTGCCCTCTGTTGATAGAGTGACAAAACTATCCTTTGTCCCCATAAAAAGGAAATAAACCCAGAAGTTTCTCTCCTCAATTAGGTGAAAAGACACCTCATAGGACCTTGAGAACTTCACCTCAAACTTAAGGATAGTTAATTGGACAGGAGCCTAAAAGTCCTGCCTGAGCAATTTACTAAAAAAGAAGAGAACAAAGAAACTAATTGCTTTTGTGAGGTGTTTTACCAGGAGCAAATACAATATGGGTCAGTGAAGGTGCAGGCACAAGGATGGGGAGTGGGAATATCCCCTGTCCCTCAGCTTTTGGGGATCAGGGCCCTGAGTGCCCTTGGCCAGCACAACTTGAGATTCCCTGCCAGCCCCTACACGCAGGATGGCTCCTGCAGATTGCTGGGATTTGCATAACTGAGCACTGGAGAGAACAGACTGTCCTGGAAGCTCTTTCAGAGGACAACCATGGGCTGAAGGGGCCTTGGCTGCATGACCATGTCCAGACCCTTCACAACATGGGGAGAGCACATTTTGGTCAATGAGAAAGGTCACCTTGAAGCTGGTGGCTGGTGACAGGAAGATTCCTGTGGGTTTGGCTGGGATGCTGACTGTGTGAGCATGTTTTCTGGAGAAAACACATGCAAGAGCACTTTAAAATCCCCACTGATGTGAAAGTGACTTCGAGTCCCCCCAGGAAATGTTTGCTTCCCTTGGTTTTTTGCTAAAATTACTAGGGCGGAATTTACCTCCGAGGAAGGAAGTGACAGTCTGAAAAGAAGTGAGATGTCAAAAAAACAAGGGAAAAGAAAAGGATCTGGATTGCAAGCCTAGATATTGTCACTCTGGAGTGTGAGTTCACCCCAGGTTTCCTGCTCTGGAAGCAGCTTTTAGAGTGTCTGGGGGCAGTCCCTGTGGCCATTCCTGTCCCCCAGTCTGGTCAGTCCATCCACGGGGCTGCAGTGAAGTTCTCTCCCTCCTGCACACCCTGGTTCAGAGAGCTGAAGCAGGGAATGGCACCTCAGTGTGGGAAGCACCAATTAGTGATGGGGAGCCAGTCTGGAGCAAATAATGAGATGATCCCAGTTCATGTTCTACAGCTGGATCACTCTCGCCATAGCTGAGGAACCCAAACCCGCTGTCAGAAGGAAGCTCCAGCTTCCCAGCCCTGGCAGCCTGGGGCAGGATGCATCTGGGTTTGTGGGGAAATGAATAAATGATCATCCTGGTGGATAAGCCACAGGCAGTGGCTGGGATGAGAGCAGGAGCTCGGTCAGAGCTGACAGGCACAGCTGTGCCCTGTGGAGCACAGAGGCTGCTCGGGACAGCCTGGGAACAGACCTGGAGTGACAGCAAGGGACCAAAACTTAGGGAGGCTGGAGAATCTGGGGAAAGCCTCACAAGCAGGACTCACTTTGTGACAGGTTTCTACAATTTGTTTTCCAAGAGGGCAAAATAATGGATGTTTGATGTCTGGTCACTCCAAGGGACCCAGGCTGGAGCAGTAGGTGACAGTCCCATCTGTACAGCTGGTTCATGTGGTGTTACTCATGGATTACTAATCCATGCATTTTTTACTACTCCAATTTCAAAACCTGCCCAGATGATCAGTGCTGGGCTGATCATGGAACCTTGAATCTCTGGGGAGCAAGATCCTGACTGGCACGATGGTGTGTGCACTGCTCAGTCAGAGCTGCTCAGCCAGCACAGGCTGTAGGTGCTCAAACCTTCTGTATTTTCTGAAGATGTGCAATGAAAATCAGTGTCAAGGAGTGGAAATTTTAGCAAGGCTCTTGTGAGAACCTTGTTGCCATCCATGGGGGTGGCAGAAGGGCCAAGAGACTCCAGGGATTCCGTCCAGCCAAATGTCTGCAGAGCCGACTGCTGTAGTGACCAAAATGTTACAAAAGACACATAATAGCAATAAAATATTAATATTACTGATTCTGCCATAAACAGAGTGCTGGGCCTTCCTCAATTTTTTTTAGTCCATTATTTATTCTGCGCATTGTTTTGCTGCTGCTGTGAAGGGAAGCAGACTCCCCTCCTCCAGGAGATGCCTTTGCCTAGCTTGTACTTTCAGTGGAAAAGAAATGAAAGTGGCACCTCTAGGCATACATTTCTTGCTACAGGTAGAAAAGTGAGGAAAATATGAGGTTTTTACACTTCCTAGTCTCCAGCAGGTGCAGGTGACCTGCAGGTCGTGGTGCACTGCTCTGAACCTGCCTGATGTTACACACCAGTGGCCAGGCATGCAAAGAGCAGTCAGGCTGTGGTTTGGGTCTGTGCAACTTCCCAGACTCTGAAAATACATCAGTATTTCCCTGAGTAAAAATACACTGTCTTTTATTGCTAAGCTGAAGTCCATGGCTTCAGGTCCTGACAAAACCCCGACACACACACAAACCCAGCCAGAAGGACTTAGAGAGACTTGTCTCCCCTAGTCCCCCCTCTCCTCCATCTTCCTCACTCTGCACCAGCGGTGATGAGCTGAGCAGATGGCACAATAAACTATAATAAACTGCATAATAAGTGAGCAGCACCAAACACAACCAGCACGGGAAAATAACTGGCAGGAGACAATGAGCCCCTTCTATTGCTTCCCATAATAATCCCTCCCAGGCTTCCCAAGTTCTCTGAGCACTTCCCTTCATTTTGCATCAAGCAGGCTGCAGGAGAAGGCTCTTGCCTTGTGCTTGCTTTCTCATCCCTTCAGGGATTTATTTAATCTGTGTGGTGGTGTTGTGCTGGGCTGATAGGAGCAACACTTCCACCAGCTGGTTTTTAACATCTTTGTGAGAGCCTTTTCCTCTGCCTCATATTGATCCTGAAACCCAAAGGCACTCGGGAATGAGGAGGAGCTGGGGTGAGCTGCAAGAATTCCAGTGGAGGAAGGAAGGAGCGAGCCCAAATGAATGGAAAATCACTGACATCTGGCTTAAAGTCCAAGAATTGCAGACGCTGCTGGGGCAGGGACAGGGGATGCAGTCCCTCCTGGCTGGGAGAACCAGCCTGAATGAAGGGAGAAGGAGGAAGAGGGAAGAAGGCTGGGGCTGTGCAGCTGCAGGGAGAGCCATGGAATTGTCCAGTACCAGCCTGGGCTGGGCACAGCATTCAGCACAGCCCCTTCTCCTCCTGTAACTTTTGCTTGCTCTTACTCACAACCACTTTTTGGTACTTCCAGTTTTTCAGTGAAAACACCATTTTCTGTAGAAATCCAGCAGTGTCCTTGGAGGATGGACATGCTGTAGCTCTTTGTGTGGCTGTGGATTGAGGCCCAATGTAATGCTGCACCCAGGGCAGTGTCAGTTTTCATTACAGCCACCCCACGCCCATGGGCTCCTGGGCAGCCACTTTGCTGTCCTGCTGGCCCCCTGCTCACCTGCTTGAGGATCTGAGCTGCCATCAGGTGGCTGCAGTCGAAGATGATGCGGAATTCCCGGCCCCTCTTCATCTCCTTGAGCAGCGGCCGCGCGTCGTCGGTGTCCAGCGGGAGCTGGCGGATCTTCAGGCGGATGTTGTAGCGGGACGGGGCCATGATGAGCTCCTGCAGCCGTATCAGGCCTTCAGGTGTCACACAGAGACAAACCCACAGCGTTACAGGGCTGCCTTCCTCACTGCTGGGCCACAGCGGCTCAGTGCTTCTCTTGTTCTCCATGGAATGGGATCAGGACTGACATCCATCCATCCATCCATCCATCCATCCATCCATCCATCCATCCATCCATCATCCGTCCATCATCCATCCATCCATCCATCCATCCATCCATCCATCTCTCATCCATCCATCCATAATCAAAGCCAAGGTGCCACACATCAACCATTGACCCCAGAGGAGCTGTTCTAGGACAGAATGGCTTTTCCTGGTGCTTCCCTGCCGCCACTGCAGCCAGTAGAGCTGGATGGGTCCCTGCACTGGGTAGGAAGGGGAGAACAGCAGGCTGGTCCTAACCTCACAACCTCTGGGATCACAAAAGATTTCCTTAAGCAGATGTGCCCTTGAGAAAGGACAGGATGTGGTAATCAGCTGCACAACAAATTAAAATCTGCATATTTACCATGCACAGTAGCAAAAGGCAAAAATGAATATGCGCTTGGATTTATGAGTCGCGTAGATCGTAACGGTCACTTAATCACAACTCATAACTTCCTACTACCCTCAGAATTCATTTCTGTTTCCTGCACAAGGCAAAGAGCCACAGTGGACTCAGCTGAGCAGGAATTACTGGAATCTGAGGTTGCAAGGAGAATTTCAGCAGATGCCTATTGCAAGGGGGAAGAGAGAAGCGTGTCCCTCTGCACAGAAGAAACACATTAGAATATGCCACGAAGGGAACATACTGTGACCCACATTTGCAAAACAGGAATGTCAAACTGTGTTTTCATCAGCCCTCCCCTAAAGAAACCATTTGGTTTAGTGAAATTAGGTTGGACAGGCTATCCAATGTGGCTTTTGTTTTTTTGGGGGGTCTATATCTAGAGCTGCACAGCACTTTGCTTTGTTTAACTGTCAACAGCTTTCCTTACGTGAAGAACTTTGCCAGCTCTGTGTTACAGAGTTATCCAGAAAACACAAAAACTTTCCAGAACTGCTTTTGGTTTTAGCTGGGAACTGCTCCCTCCATGACAACTTTTCTGTTGCAGAGGGGTACCTCACTGCCAAAAGAACCAGGCTGAGATGGTCACCCCATGCCAATGAACCCCTGCATGCCAGCTCAGGGCCCCACTTGCTGAGAGCTTTGAGAATAAAATGCTTAGAAAGCTCCACAGCACTGTGTAGAACTCCTGAGAACCCATCACTCCACGGGACACCATTTGGCTCGAGAGAGGGTTCATTGGAAAAGCTCCCACAGAGTCCCAGGACAGAAAATCTCCAGGATTCCTTCCCTGAGCCCCTCCTTTACCCACCTGTGCTGTCGTCGTACACCACGGTGGCCGACCTCCACTTCAGGTACTGCACCAGGTCCAGGATGGCGTGGCTCAGGGAAGCATAGTCAGGATACAGGTTGACATAGAAAGTGTCCTTGTTATCCAAAGGGTGATGCTTCCACCGGAGCTGGATGTGGGGCACTTCCAGGGCATTGCAGATAGACTGGACAGCGTTGGTGCAGGAGCCTTGGGAGGGTCCAAATATTGCAACGACCCCCAGAGCGAGCTGGTCACAGGCTGGAGGGGGAAGGCAGGGATGTCAGCAAAGTCTGGGGGGGGCTAAGCATGGGGCAGCTGTGGGTACAGCCATGGGTACAATCCAGACACTTGTGGGCACTGACCCAGCGCTGATATTGGGTAATTACAGCAGTGATTGGGCACAGAGAGAACGATTTATGCCAGGTGGGTATAGACCGGTGGGTAGAGGCACAGAGGAGTCCCAAGCTCCTCTGAGAGATTCTCCTCCACAAAACATTCAGAAAAGAGGCTGATTAGAGGCACAGAGGAGTGCCAAGCTCCTCTGAGAGAGCCTCCACCACAAAACCATTTGTAAAGGGACTGGGTAGAGGTGCAGAGGAGTGCCAGGCTCCTCTGAGAGTGCCCCCACCACAAAGCCATCTGAAAAGGGGCTGATTAGAGGCACAGAGGAGTGCCAAGCTCCTCTGAGGGAGCTCCCTCCACAAAACCATCTGAAAAGGGACAGGGGGTCACTGGGCTGGCTGGGAGCTGATAGCTCCCTCCTGTTGATGTCCCTCCAATAGCTGCCAGCTCAGGCAGCAGGTTTCCTTTCTCCCCAGCCAGAATCAAACTCCAGGAGCCCTCAGGTCACCAGCTCGCAGCCTTTGCTGTGCAGTCCCTCCCCTTCAGCAATTCAAGTGTGCTGCTGTTATCCAGTAATCAAAAGTGACTGTTGTGAAGAGAACAGAACATCCACGCAATGGATGTGAGCACTGCCAGGGATGCAGCGACACAAACACAGGAATGGCCTCCAGACCTTTGCTCAGGATTAGAGCAAACCTGAAAGGAGTTTTCTGAAGTTTCAGAGGCAAAAAAAGGTAGTTGTTCCCCTTGTATTAAAATGCCTCTGGAAGGTCAGCTCCAGCAGGAGCTCTCATCCAGATCACTAGTGAGAGCAGGACAGAACAAGCTGCTGGTCTGGAAACCAGACCTTTCTTCTACTGAATAAATGGTCACAAAGCTGCTCAGAAGTTTGCTCTGCTCTTACCTTTCTTAGTTGCTTCAAAGCTGTCGTGGAAGTGTATCCTCTGGATGTCATAGGTGAGGGTTGTGTTGGGCAGCAAAGTTCTGTTCCTGTTAATGATGTTGGCGGAGAATCTGAAGGCTTGTTCCTCAGCACTCATCACCTGTGTGTTGGGGCCATCTGCGTACTCAAAGATTCCTCCTGCAAGACAAAAAATCCGTATTTAAGCCACAGCTTGTTTCACAAATTCATGCAGCAAGGATGAGAAAAGTCTTGGAATGTTTGCAGGCGGAGCAGAGCTTGCTTGAGTACCTGTCCTGCATTGAAATGAAGATATGAAAACTTGGGTTTTTTCTTATATCCTGGTCTATGAGAATGTTCAGGGTGGCAGCTTTGTGGGGCAGTAACAGGTGGTTTAAAGTCTTGGAATATTTTTATGAGTGAGATAAGTGGTTTCCCATAAAACTTTAGGACCAGACCATGGTCTGTGCTCTGATGAGTTACTGGGTAAAAAACTAGCACTGCCCTCGTCTTGAAATCCTCTTGTCTCATCACCCATCTGGTCCTTGCACAAGAGACAGGCAGGGCAGTACTGCTGTTGGCTATTTTCAGTGCCATTTTCAATCCCCTTCTCCTTTTTCATTGTTCCTCATATTTAGTCCTCCAAGTTTTTAATTCAGACCAGCAGAGACTTCTGGATTTGCCTACCCTACAGCTCCTCTGCTCAGTAATGCACATCTCAGATGCAGCTTCCCTGTGTTCAAAAGTTGTTAATGCCATTACACCTCCCCAAGGGCAACAAGCTCATGTCACAACATGGCTGGGTTTCTTGGCTCTGTGTCTGTGAGTCTTGTCCTCAGTTCCCACTGACAGCCACTCTAATTGGAGTGACTTGGTGCAGGCATGGGTTATGTAATGGAATGTCCTTGTCTCTGAGACGCAGGAGCCACCCTGAGCCCCTCACAGAACCACAGAAAGACACAAACCTTGCTCGTATTTTATTCAAAAGTAAACCAAAATAATTAATGGATGAGCGAAATAAGCAAGTACAATTGGTAACAGATGGTCTCAGGGTTCATTAGCAGAAGGAAAAACCTTCCTCTTCAATTTAAGATAGTCCTCAAATGTTTTCTTGTAGACAACAGATGTCTGCTCAGCCCTGCTGGCTTTCAGGCAATGCCATGAATCCTCCTCCAGCAGCCTGAGCACATTTTCTATAGTTTTGTGGCAGTTTGGTGCTGGCCAGGAGTTCCGGTTTGGCCAGAGCCAAGCTGACAACTCGGTTGATGGCCATGCTCTGTGTGTCCTCCTGGAAATGTGACCAGAGCCATGGACTCGGTGAAGCACAGGAGAGATGGTTGGAGATGTTCTCAGCAAGGAAACAGAAGGATTTGCAAAATCCCTCTGACTTTCTGCTCCCCTTGATTGTGACAAGTCCCTTTCCTCCTCTTCCTCTGCAGTCTTTGTGCATCCTGTCCCCAGTTGTGAAGTGAGTGTGGGAATTAATTTACATTCATAGACGTAAAATAAGTTTGAGCTGTTTCCTGCATGTCTCTGCTACAAAAAAACACTGAGCTCAGTGCTAATTTTGGTAATAGGCAGAAGAATAAAGAAAAAAGAGGCTGAATGCTCATTCTGGAGTGTCATTTCAGTCTCACGTGATTTTCAGCCAGTCGCTCACGGGCAAGTTTTCAATCCAGAGTGCTGAGCAGCGTAGGCAGGAGTGTAGCAGAATTGTCCACGTGCCTCATTCTCACTGGATTGTGCCAAAACATTTGGGTTTTGACTGGTGCAAAGAAAATTATTCATCCACATCAAAGCTTGCATATGCTGGCAGCTCAACTTAAGTTTCTTAGGGCAGAAGAAAGTTCATCTACAATATTAAATCATACACAATAAACAGAACTAAAGTGAGTGTGAGATTCACCCCATCTCTCTGTTCAAAGCTTCACTGTCCAGGCTGTTTAGCCAGGGATTTTTTGTTTTCTAGCATTGTCCTGAAGTGATAACTGGTAAATGTTACATTGATTATCCACTAGCTGGCATTAGCCTTTCTTCCAGCCCAGCACTTTCAAAGTTGCTTTGGAGCATGTCTTATTATGAGATAATACAGAAGGGCTGGGAATGTGGATTATTGGTGTTTGATCCTAAATAAATTCCTGTTCCAGACATCCAGCTGGATATAATAGGGTTTTTGGCAGGAAAGAATTTTCTGTGCAGCCACCCAGCACCTTGAGCTCAGGACCAGGCAATGACAGAACTGACAGGCAGCAGGGATGTATTTCTGTATTTCCCACTGCTGGGAGCACACCAGGAATACTCTGGGACATTGGGAATCTCCCTGAGGTGAGAGGGCAGCCATGGCATGCCCATTTTGGTGTTGTCTCATAAACTGGTGAGACTGGGAGCACCTGATGGTGCTGGGAGTACTCTGGGAATAGTCTGGTGTCACTGTGATATTTTCTGAAAAATCCCTTTGCCAGGATTTTTCTCTTGGGAAGCTGAGAAGCCTCAGCTTCTCCCTGTTTTGTTGCCTTGGAATCTGATTGGGAGATTGTTTATCTAAACATGTGCATTGTTCTCACTTAATGACCAATCACCGTTTAGCTCTGTTGGGACTCTAGAAAGAGTCACAGGTTTTTATTATTCATTCTTGTTAAACCTTCTGATGTATCCTTTTCTCTATCATTTAGTATAGTTTTAGAATAGCATTCTTTTAATATAATATATATAATAAAATAATAAATCAACCTTCTGAGAACATAGAGTCAAATTCATCTCTTCGCTCATCCTAGAAACCTCACCAAAACTGCACTCTGGGAATACTGGGAGTACTCTGGGACATTGGGAATCTCCCTAAGGTGCTGAGGGCAGCCACAGCATGCCCTAGCCTGTTGTTTTCTCAGAAACTGGGGAGACTGGGAGCCCCTGATGTCAGATCTGTGCCTGGCACACCCCTCTGGATCCTCACATCCCTCTTGGCTGCGCGCCGCTCCTTCAGAGACGTTCACTCCCATCATTATTTAAAGAGCCTAATAACTGGCTTGAAACAGCTGATTAATGCATAATCTTCATCATGATTACACAGCATAACTGGCATTAATTTGCAAAGCCAGCTAATTATGAAAATAATTGTTGCAGTTCTTCCATTTGAGCAAAATGGAGACGCTCGGCTCGTGGCGTTGGGAGCACGAGGGGTGTGACATCAGCTGGCTGATGGCCAGGCTGGGAGACCCCAGGGGACCCTGAAAGCCTCAGCAGGAGAGATGAAGGAGCAGGGCTGGACAGCTGTGGGCAGCTCAGGCTGATCCCACAGGGGCCTTGGGCAGAAACTTCACCTGGCTTCACTCCCAGAGATGAGAGTCAATGGGTGTGAAAAGCTCACAACAAAAGTTTTCTCTTTTAAATACCTCATACCCACAAATCCCACCCAAGAGAGTAGAACTGGAGCTCCTTTAGTGCTGCTGTCCCTCTCTAAACCTACTTTGGAAGCTAGATCCCATGTCTTGGAGATCACTGGATGTTCTGTGGTGCTCCTGGCCTTTCCCACTCTTTCCTGTCTGTGCAGGTCTCAGCTCCTCATTCCTTCCTTCTTCCCCTCCTGTGGCTTGGCAGAGAGATAAAAGATGGCTGTGACAGGGTCAGTCATGCCTTGTGACACCCTCCTGAGGTTCATGAGAGGATTTGCTGCCTGATTTATGTGTGCTGCTCCTTGACCAGTCAATAGAGCCCGAGGACTCCCCACTGCAGCACCAGGTGCTGTTCAACACACACTGAAGTTTATCAATTCAAGTTGACTTTGTTTACATAGCTATTTTTCTCTGGAAACCTTTTTATGCCATCTTTGGTGCAGTGGGATCTGGGACTGGGAGCCAGCCTTGTAGGAGATGCCTCACACAAGCTGCTGATGAAAGCTTTCAACACTTATCACTTATTTTACATATTTTTTGATGAAGCAATCCATTATTATATCTGACTTCTTGGATTTTAAAATCAATCCCAGGCAGGTTAAATAATTATTCAGTTGTCTTTTACTCTTAAAGCAGACTAATTGCTCCCTGGAGAATGTCAGCCAGCGTATGGGAAAACACACTAATTACAATCAGCTTCGTGTCTGACTGCTTTATGTTATTTTATTTGATGACCTCGACATCACTGCTAAGGTGAGGAGTTTTCAAAATCTGAAATGAGATCCCAGAGGAAATGCCTGAAACTCCCTCAGGGTTTAGACCAGAGGAGCAGGGCTGGGCAGGCAGAAGGAGCCTGGCCTGGCACAAGGGGAAGTTTGGCTGAAAACCACAGAGGCTCTCACTCAGAGCAGCAGAACTTGAGCCTCTCTTCAGGGTAAAATCTGGATCCCACAGAATGCCTAAAATCCCATTGATGGCAATCAGAACATGCCCAGCTCTGTCTGCATCCACAAAACTGCCCTGCATCCTTCTGTCCCCAGGGATGGTGCTGGAAATCCTTGGGAATGGTTCCAGGAATGAGCCAGAAAGAGACCTGGACAATGTGCTGGGAACCCTCCTACACTGCCCCAGTGATCCCAGGACACGGCTGCATGGGCTCAGTGCCAGTGCAGTTATTTTTAGCTTTGTCAAGAGCTAAGTCAAGAAAGTCAAAGTATTTTAGATTTTTATTTCTCCCCTCTTTTGCTTTTTACCAAAACAAACAGCTTTCATTCTCAGAAAGAAAATTCCAGCAGTCCTCAGCGTGCGGTGTGATCTCTTATCTTCTACTCCTTATAAATCACAGAGTTATTTAGCTTTGAAGAACAACTATTTCTGATAACACTTTTCTCTCCCCCGCTGACAGTGTTGTTCACACATTTAGACAGCTCTGACAGCCTCTTTCCATGTGACATCCAGGAAGAAATACCTGGTTTGAGGCAGCTCTTACCAAGGATGGAGCTGGCAGAGCTCCTCAGGGACACGGGAGCTCCCCTTCCCTCTCACAGCCCTTCCATGCCCTGAGCTGTGTTTTTGTGGGGTTTTTTTTCCTCTGAGGTTATAAAATGTTTTTGCTGTTGTCTTCTGAGATATGGGATTTACCCTCTTCTGAGGACAATCACTCTCTTTTGGGGACAGTATTAGCAAATGGGCCAATCGGGACAGGTACACAGAATTTAGTGTGTACTAAAATTCCCTGAGGCAGAGAGTGGAGAATCTATGCAGAGTCTTCCTCACACAGCTGCCGCCCTG